GTTACACTCGACTGATTGAAGTCTTCATCGATCGCTAATATCCGTCTGATGCAACCGCCATGGAACGAACCCCCATCTTCCAGCACCTCGTTACAAGAGCTTTTTTTTTTCAACTCACATACAGCATGCCTCAGTCCTCTACAGATAGTGCTCCAGTTGGACAGCAATTCGAATCTCCTAGCTGTGATGTGATAATGCTATCGACCAGGGAGCTCGTATCGACGTCGGCGCAGCCTCGCGGGCCCAACCAAGCACAAACGCCTCACACTTGATGTGTGAACACGCAAAGACAATGAATATAGCACCTATAACAATCCTCATTTACTGTTCTCACCCCGCCTGGCTGTGGTGGTGCTTCATAGTGGCTCAATTACAGTATGATATCCGGTCTTCATCACAGGCATGCAACCTAGATATGCCATCCCGCTCAACCGGTTAGTGAGCTGACTCCACCTAGTCAGTGTGGGATCTCACAAAACCAGTGAGAGGGGGGGGGGGGGGGGGGTGTTCGCTATGGTCGCCATACGCCGGGGCCATCTATAATGTTGCCTGTGTTCAATATATCTAAGCCTTTCAATTTCCGTCGCAGGACAATTCCTTGGTTCTTGGGCCAGAGCATTGCAGAGCTGACTGTCTTTTTGGTGTGTACTTCATCCACTGCCGTGACTGCCTTTCAGCAGAAGACGGCTAACCCAGCTTCGAGGTACCAACATATCCCGATGGCCTTGCGGATATTGAAGGCCATGAAAGAATACATGGCAACTCTGTGTGATCGCCTATTCCAATTCAGACGCAGTACAACATGTCCACCTCACGCGAGGTTAGGTTAGTATGTACTGCATGGCGCCGATCAAGATGTCTTTCACCTCCCCAAACCGGCGTAAGTCCATGCGACTTGTCTCTTTCAACTGCATCCCAAGCATGATGATCCCAGCCTTTTCCTAACTTCCCGCCTTCTGGCGGGCTTCCATGCGGGTGACCTTGGCCGAGCGAACCAGAAGATGCCCCCAATTTTATCGGCCAACCCCGAAATCTGTGGTGGTAGTGAGGCCGGATCAACGTGGCAGACTGCTAAAGCGAGCGTGGGTGAGAGATAGCGAAAGATTGTGTGTTATGCGGCGGGCAGAAGCAGCAATCGACATCACGAGCATCAGAGACAACCACTCAAGACCGCAGAAATTCAAAAAGACCTATCAACAGGGACAACGGTGAGACTTATATGGTGGTGTAAGTTGCTGGGTCAGGTTTGTACACAAAAGCTTGGCATTACGTAGCAACGATTGTACGACTTGATACAACACAGGTGTCATGGAAGAAAGGGGGGAAGGAAGGGAAGATAAAATGCCTTATCAATGGCGACACGATGTGACGTCCGGATGCTTCCTCCAGGGGCAACTCGCCCACATCTTCTTCGCGCAAAAAAATACGCGCGCCTTCCACGTCGAAGCGCTGCCCTAGGCCCTACAGTGGAACTCCCAGGAAAGGAAAAAAAAAAAAAAAAAAATTTAACAAAGAATTATTCCGCCATTAAAGGGTTCCATTCGCAGATTAAAAAGTTGAACCCTTGCACTACGACTCTTTCAACGTTTCCCCTTTCATTTCCGCGCAGCGCCCAACCGTTTAACCTCAAGCGGTGGATATCCTCTTGCAAGGATACCCCTTTATGATATTTCTCATGGTCAAGCTCGCAAGGTCTGGCCTTTCACGTGAAAGGTCCTCCGGGAAGAAGATCTCGGCAGTGCCCACGAGGTGTGGTGATCTTTGGAGTCCTTTGTCTCCGAAACCACTTTACACCTCGGGCTAGAAAAAAACACAACTTAGGTTCGGACCGAAATATCTCAGATCACGCGCCGGTGATGTCTAGAGGCTTTAACTTTCCCGTCTGTACCATTGACTCTCCACTCCGTGAGCCCCATCTGAGTGCTGTCTTTCCAAGTACTGTACCGGGGCCGGTATACATAGCATATAGTGTACACATTACCTCAGGCCCCGGCGGCCCATGGGTTTCGGAGGCTGTGGAGACGGATCTGAGAATGGGATCCAGGTAGATCTGTGGAAACCCAAAATCCAGTTCATCGTTGCACTTAGGTCCAGGACAGCAATGACGGCAGGACCCTCTTCTACAAAAATTTCTAAAAAGCTATTCGTTAACAGCCCGGCAGGGAGCAAAGTGGATGACAAAAGACGGCAGACGAGGCATCTCTTTTCAGGGCAGTTTGCGTCTACTTGCGCCCCCCGCCCCCCTCATCCTTCCCCTCGCAGACCATGAGATTCTGCTGATGTGCAGATAATGATGGAGGTGTTCGTTCCTTCCCACCAACTGACGAGACTGAACTGAAAAGCCCGCAGCGCCACAGGGAAGTTTTTGCACCTTTCGTTACATCATGACAGAGGCAGAAAGTTGCTTGATTCGTCGCCCTTCCCATTTGTTAGCCACAGTCAAGCCTCTGACGACTGTTCTACCTGCTTTACACGACACTGCGGCTCGCCTACCAGGCGTTCCTTCAGTTGCATCTGGAAAAGACCCTGCACGCTTGGCCTCCTTGGCCGTTGGAAGACCCGTAGGTAACGCCCAGCGTACCCTTCAATCCTCAAGCATTCTTCCTAACTGCCTGGCCGTTGGGCCTGTTGAGCTTCGCGACATGAGTTGAGCGGCTGGTCTAGCCTGTCATGGTAAACAGCTCCGTTCTAGGTCTGTTCAAGCGAATACTACGGCACGGCATTGCGTGCTGGCACCATGTGAATGTGTGGGGGTCCCTTTCTTTTCTAACTTTTCCGTGAATTTGGTCAAATGGTGGGCCAGAGGGTCTTTCGAGAAAGCCAGAGGTCGTGTGTCTGAGAAGACAACGGTTGAAGCTCTCATGAAATGTGGATAAGCTGTCGGATCCCATAGCTGGCACAGGTACGCTGAATCATTATTTTGCTATCTCTCGAAAGTGACTGAAAGAGTTGTCAGCTTGATGCTTCTTACCTCTACATGGTAGTTCTTGCGACTGACATGGACCGCCGCAGAGCTAGTATGGCATAGACACCTCATTGTAGGTAACATGTCGCGTGCTAAACAGCCCGCTAGCGGTATGTTTGTTGTTCACTGTATTGGTGAATACCTACTAAAGCATTCGTGCCTCCAACGGTCGACCCATGTGCAAAGCTCCCGAATCTTTGCCTTTCTTTTCCTTCACATGCCAAGGTTCCGTCATACACTTGAGCCCTGGTAGGTCGGCGACCAGTAGTTTGCGCCATCACGAATTTGCATAAAGTTATCTCAAAGAAGTAATCAAATCGCCAAGGTCTCTCTCTTCGTTCTCCATCAACAACGGCCGCCTCCACAGAAGTGGGAATGATGTTCGGTACACTGCCCGAGCGTCCGAACGACTTCCTCTGCTGACTTCATTGGCTCCTTCACCACCCCATGTTCGTTCAGACCACCGAAAACACGCTATGTAGCAGCACTAACGAGAAGGCGTCAGAAGAAGGTCCACTGAAGTGTGTACATTGCCCTATTAGACGATTTGACGTCGAGATGAGGCACATGGGAGAATGCAACAAACTGAAGGCAAAATCAGCAAAAAGTCTTGAAGGTGAGCCGAGATGTATGACTACGTAGAGGATAGTCGAACACCCACTTCAACCTCAGCGTACCCGGTACCTGGCCGCTAGAACGTGAAAGGAAGCATCTCCCGTCAATTTTCAAATTCCGTCACGCTGTCCACAAGATGATAGTGTAAATACATGGCGCCCTCGCTGTCTGTTATCACCATTTGTCACCACCTCACACTGGCCCTGCCGATCCTTGTCCACACCGAGTCTAGCCTGCTGAGACCAAAATCGCACCTAAAACTCGTGGGTGCCGGTGGACGACAATGATGCGGGGAAATTGTGCCCATCCTGTTTTTTCATCTTTTCTTTTTTTTTCCCTCCGCGTGATTTCAACACCAGAACAGCCCTCCTCCGTTCGGCACCTACTGTGTAAAGACAGCGTGCAATTGACTTGAATGACCGCGTGATCTCTTTGCCCACAAGTGCTTGCCAGTCATTCATCTTCAACGCTTCTTTTCGCATGCCACTGCAGTCATCCTCTTACATGACATGAGGGTAATGTTTTTTTTTGTTTTCTTTTTCTGCTAATCGTCCATGTCAGCCGTTTGTTCATTTCTCTGTAAGTTGATCGAACCGTCTTTTCCGTCGATGGCCATGTTCTGGAAAAATGCGATGCTTATTCCTCCACGCGCATCATTGGGGTTTTTGACCTTTCTATACCAGTTGCCTCTGCGTGGGTGAAGCTCTTTCCAATGTCCAGAGAGATCAACAAAAGGTCCAAATGGGGCAGGTCACCAACCGCTAGCCTAATCTGGAGCTTATCTGGTTTCTGATTGGTGGATGAGATGGTATTCGGTACTTAAATACATCTGACAAGTCTTGCAGGCCCGCGGCATTGTCTCGCTATAACTCCACCTCGCCCTCGTCGTCGGTACCCGCCCCAACCTCAATTTCACTCTCAGGCTTCTCCCCCACCTTCCGTTCCGAAGACTCCCGCACTCCGTCGTTCAGATAGGCCTGTGGCTTGGCTGTCGGCCATTTCTCGGAGCGTCCCTTTACTTGGCTCACTAATGTGGCTGTGGCTCGGGATGCCCGTGGTCGTGAGTTCGCCCGATTTTTACCTACCTACCTACACTAGTAGTGTATGCAGTGGCCCAGTGGTTTACTTTCAGCTAGCGCTTGGGTCCTTAAATTTCGACCGAAAACAAAACACCATAGCAGATGGAGAGATTATCTCCTACCAGGCGAGTCCTCCTCTGACACAGCATCCCAAACGACACCTTAAGCATATTGGTCATGAAATTGGCACTATCGCGCGGCACAAACATGCCGTTGTCACTATAATATCGCCGCACAACTGATGACAATCTTCTGTGTACCATGTTATCTATTTAAGATTTTAGATATCGAATATAAAGCCAACCATTTTGGTTTCCGAAGGAGCGCCAATCCACACTAGACTAGTGTAGTGTAATATCATCAGCTGGACTTCGGAGCCCGCCGTATCCAGATTCAATAAGTCTCGGCCATCCATTGGCTTGTTCCCACTTCGATGGAACGTTGTAATCCTGGACAGCAGCACGCGAGCCTTGCTCGAGCCTTGCTGATTCGCCCAGCCAAGGGCCCTGTCGACGGGATTCCAGTTCTTCACACCTCAAATGCCTGGGCAACCAGATACTTCCTAGACCATGCGCTCCGCTCTCCTCATTGTAACCTAGTGTATAGTCTCCCCGGAATCGCATCTTCTCACCTTGTCACCGAGGCTGTTCCCGCCTCGGCATTTGATTCTGCTCGAAGCGAGCAGCGACATCGGCCTGGGCAACCGGGATGTCATGATATTCTTCTGAAACTTTTTTTTTTTTCACCTTTTTTTGGTTTTTTTCTTTCTTTCTCGTGCCGTACCTAGCTGCTTTCCGACATCCGATTATTTCATCATTGCTGGCGAAGTGGACTCTCTGAAGACCTGGTGCTCTCCATAGATCATCTACAATACGGCTGAGATCACGGGGAGGCTAAAACGGCACGGGCGGGTACTGATGCCACCATCTTTTTTCCTCCACAGCTGTGTCATTAGCTTTGCAATGCTTGCAGAAAGGGCGCTTCCGGGTCATGACCGACAAAGACAACGCAAAGTTACAAGCGCTACGCGAACGAGATACACTCGTCCGAGTTGCTATCCTCACTTTCACTGGCGAACTTACATTGTCAGCAACATCGCCTTGGTACCAACCACTGGAAATACATACACAGTACAAGCTGACGGGGTTCCGGGGACGACCTTCACTGAGGGGGAGGCACAGCTCTCTCCGCTCCCGAAGGATCGCCACTCTTCAACCTCGGAGTTGGCTTTCTCACTCTGTTCGAGGTTCGAGGCCATCTCTCTGGCCTCTCTCCTTGACCAGTAGTTCTGGAACTTCGAACAACTGCGGGCAAACGCCTTGTGTTTTTCCATTTTCAAAATCCACAGCTGATCGTCTCATTTCAGTGCTACGTACCATGATTTAATATAAGCGCTCTGTGTTGTACATATATATGATAGTACGGTGTGAGTTGTACATCTGAGGAGTGCCTGGCGCTCAGCGGCAAGGTCGCGGCCTCAGACGAACCTGATACCTTGGGATCTGATTTGCTGCCTAGGCGATTCGTCTGTTGTTGATCAGAGGCCCCTTTTCTTTGGACATTTTTAGTATGATGTCAAGTATCGAACTTCAAACTCTTGCGCTGAGCTCGGGCGAGAAGTACTCCATTTGTAACAAACCGTGTCATGATGGTCAAGCTCTTGAGTGAACGTTTCCCACTGGTCTTATGTCTCTGTTCATTCGTGCCACTGGGTATCATTTACTGATCCTTGCTTTCAGGTCCTCTGAAGACTCAAACAAGTACAACACCCCGTCGTTTCGCGAGATACAGTTCAAAAGGGGTTATCCTAGCGTCTTCATTTGTCGATTACAGATCGAATCGAACAGTCAACCGGAGCACGCTCTGGCCCCAAACTAACCTCGCCCAGACTCTGCCCATGGAAGTTTTCCAAATTTTCGCCAGGAAAAAACCCACAAGCACGACTCTTTACGCGGCGACTAGTCGGAGTGGCCGTGGCATCGCTCTTTGTCTATGGTGGTCGACAAAGGGATTGCGCGGCGCTAGTAGATGATGACGTTTTGTTCACGCGACATATCTGTGCTGTGAGTCAGTTGCTGTCGTGTCGACTGTCTGTATTCGTTACCGGTCGTCATTGGGGTCTTTTATGAATCATTTGTGCCAGGCTTGCAAGGCTAGCCTCCTGGACACGCTGTCACGGCGTTTTCGAGTACAGTCGCCGTGCGTAATAGGGGATGCCGACAACAACCGTTCAGTCATCCGATTGATGATCGCCGACCTAGGAACAATTTGACTGACCTGGGAATGAAATAGGGGTTTAAAATCGAGATTGTCATGCCCTTTCGGCCCTCAAACATGGCCCTGATGTACCCGTCTTGGTCGGTATCAAATTACCTGTAGCGATGCTGACAGTATATGTGAGTGGCAGGTAGAGGTGAGTAGTGAGGTTCTCGGTAGCATCAACTGTAATAAAGATGGGTATTACCATATACGTACCTCTACTCATCGCTTGTTTTCAAATCGAAACCGTCATCTCATGAATTCTGACCAAGTTGTCATTACAAGTTTTGACGGGTGTAAGTGAAGTACTGGTACTTACCACGCGCATACTACAGTACCCATTCACGGGAGCCACAAACTATGACAAGAAGTTGGACCGGAACAGAGCCGACTGCAGGACCTAGGCCGTCAGGTCGTACCTTCAAATTGGCGGTTGGAGGGCATGTAAGAAGGAGCCACAGAGAGCAAGTTGGAAAGAGCGAACAGTCGAAAGAGTTCTTCTTTCTATAAACGACATACTATTGTATGTATTGGAAGGAGCGAAATATTTGCTTGTTGCACATCTCCGCTCCAAACATTGAACCTCCTCTGCGAAGTTTCTCTTTCGTAGTTCTCTTGTCGTCAAAGTACTTTTCGGAATCCTGGCTGAGTCCTGAAGACAGCGTGTCTATATCAAGGGAGACCTAAGAAATGAAGTAGGAAGTAGTGGATGGAACAAAAAGGAGGTTGATTGAATCGTCAACTGCACTTCTAGTCATACATGGCAATCAAGCTCCGTAGAGAACAGAACATTGCCTCACTGGATCTTTTCCATCGAGAAGCCTGGAGCTGACACTTCTCTTCTCTCTCTCTCTCTCTCTCTCTCTCTCCCTTTCTTTTTTTATTTCTTTTTTTTTCTCTTCTTTCTTTTAAATGTATATATATATACTTAAGCGTGGGGTGGCCCATGGTCTGGAAAGACCTACAAATATCGAGCTTAAAAGTGTAGCGTAGGGAGACCTTCAACGAAAGTGGAAGGCAAACAGAAGCGACCGTTGACTGCCAAGCTAGATAGGCTGCGTTGTGAATAAAGGACATTGTGCTCTCTCTCTAAACTTGATGAGAGTTGTTTGTAAGTCGGCCGCTTTGTGTATTATTACATGCGTGATTGTGCATACAGCAATTGTCCCTCTTAACCCTTTCCGCCATTGACCATGACACGAATGCATCAGTTAGGTCATTGAGACGTGAAAGCCCTGCTGCCCCCTATTTTCGTAGCCCTCCTCTTCCAGGGCCGCCCAATGCCATCGCCTCCCCCTGTCTTCCATCCACCCCCCTCTCGGCTATAGAGAGTTCTCAATATCCATAACCTCCTTGATTCCCTCCTCAATGGTGGCCACCCGGGCTTTTTCCAGCCTCTTGAGCGGCCGCCTCGGGTATCCGCCATATCCAAAGTAGCTCTGAATAGCCTGCTTGGTGCCGGCAATGGCAGACTTGGTCAAGTACCAGTCGCCCTTTGCAAGAGTCTTCTGAAGCGCAATTGCTTCATCACTTTTGCCCTCCGCATACAAGTTCCACACCTTGACGCACACCTTGGGCATTACGTTGGCTCCGCCGGCAATGATACCGCTGCCGCCGCTGGCCAAGGTCTGGACAGTGAAGTCGCACATTCCACCGAATGCCATGTAGCCAGATCCCTCTGCCCAGGGAGTCTTGGCATCAGTTGCCTGTGCCACTCGTGTGAGCTTGCCGGTGTTTCCGCAGGTGAACTTGGTGCCCACAATGTTGGGATGCGCGGCGAGCTTGATCAGCAGGTCCGAGTCCATGTCGATACCAGCAACAGCCCCGGGATAGTTATACAGAACGAGCGGCAGAGGGCTCTCGTCAGCCACGGCGATGAAGTAGTCGTGAATTGCTTGCTCGTCCATGAGGAAACGGAAGTATGAGGGAGGGAGGAGTAGCACGTAATCGCCGCCAGCTTCCTGGGCGATTCTGCACAACTCGATTGTTCCTCTAACACTGCCCTCCGTTGCGCCAACGATAATGGGTGTGTCCTTGAAACCAGCCTCATCCAACGCTTCCCTGGTAGCGCGGGTTACCGTTGCCTTTTCCTCTCGTGTACAGTGAATAGCCTCTCCATTGGAGCCCATCGTTACCAGACCAGCAAGTCCATCCTTGACCAAACGTGCAGCGTGTTTCTTGATGGTGGGAATGTCGAGGTCTTCAGTCTCAGCATCGAAGAAGGTCATGGTCGGGGCGTAGATGCCGCATGGAAGAGGTCTTCTCGGGGCCTGCTGGCCGTTCGTGGCACCACTGGACGCAGTCATGTTGGATGTGTATATGGGCAAAATGATATGTGCTAACTCAAGTGGTTGAAGCTTGAGGCTTTGGACAGGCGTGATGCACGGAAGTAGCGGCAGAGGAATCAGAAGAAAAAGGAGGCAATGGGCAGAAGGAGTAGGCGTAAGCAAGTGAGGGAACGCCGTTTACTTATCCGAGAAAGAAAGGTTCACGGTAACATACAGTCCAGCATTGCCCGACTCGGCACCCCAACTGTGGGGTGTCATGGCGTGTCGTGGAAGCAAAATGTTCAGAAACCAGGAGCAGATCGCTCGGACATTGGTCCGAGGCGGCCAACCAAAGGCACCAGCCAACGCGGTTCCTGTTGGATGAAGACGAAAGTCGGTAAAAACAGAGGGCAAGGCAAATAGACAGCGGCTAAGTGATGAAGCGGACCATTAGATGGACCCGGATTTGGGGGGGGATGATGGAGGAGATGTTATGGAGGGGTTTACCCCAAGGACATTGACAGCCGGACGGGGGGACTGGGGATTATGGGGAACAAATCACGCATTCACCTCATGTTTGTCCAAAACGCCGCCTTGACTTGGTTTAGTATGGCGGCGAGCGGGAAAAGGATGGGGTTAATGGGGAATGGCGGCGGCTTATCCGGTGGTGGTGGAAGTTGAGGATGCCGGGTCATTGGGCCTCGCCAAGAGATATATCCAGAAACTTTTGGGGTGATATTCTCGTAGACCGCTGAAGTCCAAAAACACTTGTTTTGAAATGTCATTTGTAAGTTGAGGATACTGGGTGTGAAGGGTTCGGAGTGACCTTGTTGATTTGATACCCAGCACTGTTCTCTGGTGATCTGCAGACATGTCGAGTGCACAAAATGCGAACTTCGCATGCGATCTGTTGGTTAACGGCTTGTCACCAATATGTTCGCTCTTGGAGGCTAAGTAGATGTTTTGCACACGAAGACGTCTCCCGCCGCCTAGGGAGTCTGCTGAGCTGATGTCACTTCGCCAAATACCGTGCATTGTAGGGGAGATGGTGCGAGCGTGGCTGTTTGACTCTGACATCATGGCTCTAGACGTACACTAGCTATGAGCTATGTATCCGATGGCGGCGAGAACGTCAAGTGAAGGCTCACATGTGCCAAGTAGCCTGGGGAGAGGCCTGCTAGCTAGGTAGTCACCTTCTGGTGTCGTCGGCCACGAGACGGAACAAATATTTCCTCCAATGAAGATGGCCTAACAAATGTCGACGGCAAGCATGATGAAGCACACCCCCACCATCACATTGTGGAGTATCTCCAACCAAGCAAGAAAAGAGGCTGACTCGGTGAGAATAGGGTAGAACTAGTGTTGGAAGATGCCGTGCGGTCCTGTCCGAGGAGTAGGAGGGCACTCAGTTTATCCTGAAGAAGTATGGAAGGTCGAGAGAAGTAATTCGATGACCAAAATGTGGAAGGGAGGAAGTGGAAAGATGCAATGTCAAACATGACGATGCTGCTTTGGAGTTTGGATGAACTGGGGGGGGGGAGGGGGGGGGGAACGTGAATTGCGGGGAAAAAGCAGCCCCAAAAGTTGGCGTGGGGGAAGGAGCGGGTCGGCCAGGGGTGTGCTGGGTGCTGGGTGCTGGGGGGTTGCACCCCACCTTCTGTCCACTACACTAGATTCGCACACCCTCCCCATCCCCTCACGAGCCACGACCCCGCCAATGAAAGCTTCCCCGCGTTCGAGGTCTGTACCGTGACCATGACAGCTCTTTTTTCATCTTTTCATGAAGCCCGCAAGCCAACAAAGCCATGGCAATGTCTACAAGTAAATCCCCTGGAATCTTCTGATATTACACGGGACAAATTAATCAACTACAGGTCTGCCACCTCGGAATGAAGCTGGCAATGTAGTGAAGGTTCAAGGACACTGAATATGGATTCACAAGATCGCGAGGCCATCAAGGTACACAACCCGTTTCGCGGGACCCGATCGGCAGAATCCATCCCATGTGTAGACCGTGTATTGAGCAATTCCTTCTATTCGCTCCAATGATATCAATTCTTCCGAGGAGCACTGGAGTATGGACATCAGTTTCCCGAAAAGCCAAGTTCGAGATGACGAAGATGGCTATATACCTTACATCGTAGTGGAAGACCATCCTTGACGGTCAGTTGTTCAGAGACTCAACAAACGGCCCGATGTATATTAGGTTGAAAGTCGTGTTACGATAATTATTCCGGCCACGAGAAATGCAGTGGCTCTGTCTGTCCATCCAACCCCGGCTAAGCTCTTCCCTTTGAGCTCCATCTATATACAAACCAGCATCCAGCAACCAGCTTCTCCTTGGAGAGACAAAAAGCGACCGCCATTTCTTCCTGTGAACCCCGTTCTCTTCCAATTGTCACTGTCAAATCGCCCAACATGGCCTCTCCCCTCAATGTGTTGATGGTAAGTTCGCCATATCCGGATCCTGACTATCACTGTCTTACTTGGTTAGGTTGGTACTGGTGAGTACACCACCGGTTTTGTCGGCGGCGGTGCCTCTGGCTCGGACAAGAAGGTTGGTGTTGTTGGGCTGTCAATGTTCGATCTTCGCCGGCGAGGCAAGGTCGGCAAGCTCGGCATGGTTGGCGTCAATGGCACAAAGTTTCCAGCAATTCGTGAGTCCCCCCCCCCCCAGGCAGGAAGTGCGGATCCAGTATACATACTGACCATTGCCAAACCTCCAGGGGAGCATCTCAACAAGAACATTACTCAAGTCTACAACAACCTCGACACCTCGTTCGAGTCCTTCCCCGCCGACAATGCCAAAGACCCGGATTCCTACAAGGCCGCCATCGACGCCCTCCAGCCCGGTGACGCCATCACCATCTTCACCCCCGACACCACCCACTACCCCATCGCCCTGTACGCTATTGAGCGCAAGATCCACGTCATGATCACCAAACCAGCCGTCAAGGAGCTTGCGCACCACATCGCCCTCGTCGAGGCCGCCGAGAAGCATGGCGTGTACGTCTACATTGAGCACCACAAGCGCTTCGACCCAGCCTACGCGGACGCCAAGCACCGGGCCAAGAAGCTGGGCGACTTCAACTACTTCTACAGCTACATGTCGCAACCGAAAAGCCAGCTGCAGACGTTCGCCGCCTGGGCCGGTATCGACTCGGACATTTCGTACTACCTAAACAGCCACCACGTCGACATTTGCGACTCGATGGTGTCCCAGCTGGGGTACGTGCCCGTCAAAGTGTCGGCTTCGGCCTCCACCGGCGTCGCCGTCAGCCTAGGGTGTCACGAGAAGACCGAGGACACCATCAGCCTGCTTGTGCACTGGCAGAAGGAAGACGACCCAACCAAGCACGCCACGGGCGTGTACACGGCCTCGTGGACGGCGCCCCAGAAGGCCGGCGTGCACTCTAATCAGTACTTCCACTACCTGGCGCAGGGCGGCGAGATCCGCATCGACCAGGCCAAGCGCGGGTACGACGTCGCGGAGGACTCGGCCGGCCAGTTGATGTGGTACAACCCGTTTTATATGAAGTATGCGCCCGATGAGGACGGGAACTTTGCCGGGCAGTCTGGGTATGGATATGTGTCGATAGAAAAGTTTGTCGATGGGTGTCGTGCTGTAAATGCGGGTACGTTGACACCCAAGGATTTGGATGCCAAGGGACTGCCGACGTTGAGGAATACCATTGCTACTACGGCTATCTTGGAGGCGGGGAGAAGGAGTATAGATGAGAAGAGGGAAGTGAAAATCGAGAGAAAGGATGGGCAATGGAGGCTTGTTTGATGATACCTAGTTGTCGGCTATGAGTTTTGGTCCTTTTCGCATCAATTTCACAAAATAAGTGCTGTGCATTGACATCCACATAACTGGTCATCAAATTTTGCCCATCGCATTTATGACAGATGATTAAAGACGTATGGCTTGGGGTATAAACTTGCATTTCCCGCGGCCCAGACAATCTTATCCCAGGACAGCATCACACCATCATGCACTCATCCATCCCATACTTGGAGTTTAGCAAGCCCCATCCCTACAATCCTTGGGCGACTTGGCCACCTTCCATCCGTCTCAAACCTCCACAGACAGGACAGGAGTTTACTCGCCCAACTCCTTGAGGATAGCCTCCTTCAGACTCTCAGGCTTCGTAGTGCTCGCCCACCGTCCCTTGACCTTTCCGTCCTTTCCAATCAAGAACTTTTCAAAGTTCCACTTGATTCTCTTCAATCCCATCAGGCCAGGCTTCTCATTCTTCATCCACTCATAGAGGGGATCAGCATTGTCGCCGTTGACCTCCACCTTCTTCATGATTGGGAAGGAAACGCCATAGTTGAGCTGGCAGAACGACTGGATCTCCTCCTCGGTGCCCGGCTCCTGTCCGCCGAACTGGTTGCAAGGGAAAGCGAGGATCTCAAAATCGTCCGGGTACTTCTCCTTGATCTCCTTGTAGACCTTTTCCAAGCCGGCGTATTGAGGCGTGAAGCCGCATTTGGAGGCAACGTTGACGATCAGGACTACCTTGCCTTGGTAGGTGGAGAGGGGGAGTTCGGAGCCCTTCTCTGTGGGTTTGGTTAGTATGGGTGGTGATGATGATGTGGTGGTGGTGAGAGACTAAGATAAAGAGGGGCGAGGGCTTACTGTCAAGGGGCTTAAAGTCGTAGATAGTAGTGGCAGAAGACATGTTGAGTGTGGTTGTTGCGAAGCGTCTGGAAATAGCTGGCTGGCAACGGAATGCTGGTTTGGAAACTGGCAGTCGAGGTTGTTGTTGTTGAGATAGAATCGGTGATAGTTTCAAATGACGAGTGGTGAGTGAGGTGCGAGCAAGTGTAGCTACTGAGCGATGATGGTAGCGGGGTATCATATGGTTATGTATGTGCAAGCAAGGACAAAGATCAAAGGAGCCGAGAATGACACGAATGAGAGGCGAAAGGTGGTCTTGATATTTGAATGGGCACTGGCGGCGAGAATTCCGTCCGACGTTTGAAAAGGCCCTAGCTCGCTCGGAGAGAACAAGGATCGTGAGGTGAGACAGGTACACCACACTACACCACAGTCCGATGCTGGTTAGTTTGTTACCTCGGTACACTAGAGGTGGGTAGGTAGGTGGGTAGGTACTTCTGGCAGTGTACAATATACGAAATCTATCCCGAATAGTCCCAAAGCTCACAAACTAAGACGAGTCAAAATGGCTGAGTACGAGTTATAAAGGCATTGGCAGGAATTAATTAGACATATTAATTATCAGAAACAGCGTTTTCCAAGTAATATCACGCGTTCGTTAGCTATGAAAACGCATAGGAAAGTTGAAACGAGGTCTCAAGCTAACAAACAACCAGCACTGGACTGACATACCTACCCCCGGCGCGGGTCTGGGAGTTCCCGAGCAGCGTGGTTCCGACGGAGTAATTCCCGCGTGGGGTCATTGGCTACAGCGGTCCCCTTCTTGGTGGTTCCATTCCATTACGGCAGTGGCACACGTTGAACTTCACCTCAGCATCATTCCCGCCGAGTCTCAATCCCGTCTTCATGTTTCATCCAGTGTTTGCAGTTTATGGTTCAGACAAACAACTGTTCGTATCTCAACTCTATGCACCATATCAGTCTTCAGTTTGTTACGGCCGATTCATGGTGATAGGTACTCGGCACCCTTGCTTGGTGTTGTGACATGCTGCGATAATTACTAAGCAGTAAGCCAGGTACCTCGGCAGGGACCGTGATGTGTTCAGGGCACCCCAACCGAGCGCCAAAGTCCGCGTCGGCGTTGACATGCGCCGCCTATTTTCCGATCGCTGACGACTGCCCCGCTATGCAGAAATGTTCTGAAGATCGGGAGCGAACTCTTCAAACTCTTCATATGAATGAACTCCAGTCACGGTGAAAAGACACCCGAACGGTCATGTCACGCCACATGGATTTGAGAATTCTACGACCCTCATTTTTTTCGGTTGCCCGGCAAGCCGGTGGGTACACCATCATGAACGAACCACCACCACCAGTGATGGCGGGGAACACAGATCCTTGGCTTTGACATCATGATTGCATTAGCGGGGGATATGTGTGTATTTGCATTTGTCTTTGCGAACCCAAACAATACAGTTTTAACAACACTCGCATGAATTATCTGTGAAGCTTCGAAGGATGGTAGCAGAGGAAACATCAAGACATGGGTCAACTGCGGGCGGGGCATTGAATGTCTCTCTGAAAATTAACATTCCCGCACAGAAACGAAACCGCAGCAATGAAAGCGTGGGGGAACGGGTACCTAGCTCGTGGGTGGGATGGGGTGGGCCGTTGATAGCCACCCCAGTTGACGTCGTTCAAATCTGGAAAACATGATTTCCTCACTTGCAGAACGAAGCATCAACACATTCAACACTGGAATCGAAGCTTCCAAAGTTGATGAACCTTTCGCTTTGTAACCAACTCGTCACCATGGCTGCCCAGCAACAAAAGAGAAACATTGTCATTGTCGGTGAGGTTCAGGGATTATTTCCATTCCCCGCATACGACAGCTCTCAACTAACACAACATCACCAGGTGGCGGCATCATCGGTTGCACAACCGCCTACTTCCTCACCCGCCATCCCAAGTTCGACCCGGCCCAGCATACCATCACTCTTCTCGAGGCCAGCTCCATCGCCGCGGGCGCATCTGGAAAAGCCGGCGGTCTCCTCGCCCTTTGGGCTTATCCCGAATGTCTCGTTCCCCTCTCCTACCGCCTGCACCGGGAACTCGCCGATGAGCACAACGGTGCCGAGCGCTGGGGTTACCGGCAGGTCGGCTGCGGAACCATCGGTGCGGTCGTCAAGAATACCGACCTTAAGGCTCGCGGCCAGGGAACATCAGCCTCGACGACATCCGACTTGAAGGAGCCCAACGGTACCACAGCAGCAGCCCCCAACGCCCACCTCCCCATCCAGGCCGAAGACGAAAAGATCTCTAAAGATTGGGAGAAACTTCCCAAGCAAGACGTGGCCGCGACCTCTCTTCTCTCCAAATCCGTCCTGCCCCCGGATCTCGACTGGGTTGACGCCTCGCTCGTACGCTCATGGGATGTCATGGGCCGACGCGGGGAGACCGAGACCGCGCAAGCACACCCCTTCCACTTCACCAACGCCATGGCGGATCTAGCCGCCGCCAAGGGCGTGGACATTCGGTTGGGTGCCAAGGTGACCAACATCACTTCTTCTTCTTCTTCAGCCCCTAACGGCAGGGTAGACACAGTCGAGTACCAGGACCGCAACAACAACGACGAAATCAAATCCATTACGGGAGTAACAGACGTGATTCTGACCGCCGGCCCTTGGACGGGTAAAATCTTGCCTCGGTCCAAGATCGAAGGGTTGCGCGCCCACAGCGTGGTGTACGAGGCGGAAGTGAGTCCGTACGCGGTGTTTACGGATATTGAGCTGCCGAGCGACTGGACGCCGGAGCATCGGCGGGTAAAGGGGCAAAAGAGAAAGCATAGGGGACATGTGGATCCGGAGATTTATGCGAGGCCCTTTGGGGAGGTTTACGCTTGTGGTATGTGAATGGTCTTCTTTCTTTCTTTCTTTTTTCTTTCTTTCCTTGTTCTCATTTTTCCTCCTCTTTTTTCTTATTTCATTCCATTCACTGGCACAAGTCTGTACGTCTTGACATGGGTATGACTAACAAATCAAAATGAACAGGCGAACCAGACAAAACCATTCCTCTCCCCGAAACAGCAGACCAAGTTCAATGCGACGAAGACCAATGCAACGACCTGATTTCCTACATCGCTACCGTCAGCCCGATTCTTGCGTCTGCCCCCGTCAAGGCCAAGCAGGCTTGCTACCTCCCTCAGCATGTCCGATTCGGAGAGGAGAGGGGTCCGCTTATAGGCCAAACTTCTACGCCTGGCTTGTGGATTGCGGCCGGACATACGTGCTGGGGGATCCAGAACGGACCAGCCACCGGCTTGTTGATGTCTGAACTGATTTTCGATGGACAGACCAAGAGTGCGGACATTGACAAGCTGGATCCCAAGAAGTTCAAGGTTTAAAGAGTTCATAGGGACTATGAGGGTAGAGTGTCACATATGGCAAAGTAACAAGCGGAGCGGTGATGCGAGCATTAGACATGAAGTAATGGACACGGCTTACAACAGTACTATATACCAAGGCAATGTTTCCCTGTTTTCAAAATTGCTAAGCGTATCCTAATGATGTTCAGAGCGGCGAGCATACATGACTATAATCCCCTACTCGTTCCTCGTCATCCTCATTCTCCTGGTTTATACAGTCATAATCATACATTATCCACCACAATCCTTCCTCGTCGCCCGTCTCCCACTACTAGTAACCTAGGCCACCACCCACTTAGCCCTGCCAATGGAACCGGCTTTGTCTCAGCATGGTTATCAACCCAATGGGCAGCGCCGCCTTATCAACGACCGTCAGTCCACCAAACATGTCCACCACCTCCCGATGGAACAGCTGCACCACCCACTTGTCGTAGCTGCTCATGTCCCTCCAATCATCCTCGTCCTCCAGCGCCGCCTTGATATCGCCCTTGAGCTCCACGTCTCTCGTCGTCGGCTCCATCAATAGGTTTTGGTAAAGCGCCTTAAGCTGCGGCGACGTCAGCTCCCTGTACCGTGTGAACTCCTCATAACTCATGAAAGGCTCTCCCTCAAGGTCCTTAAATGAGTCTTCTCCTCTGGTCGAGCCACCAGCCGTCTTGTTCACAGCGCGCTCCATCTCGTAGGTCTCAAACCTCTCCTTCGCTCTCCGGTACGCACGCTCTTCCTCCTCTTCGTAGTCGGCCAGCATCTCCTCGGGCGTCTTTTCCAGGTCATCGCGAATCAGGAAGAGCGAGACAAACGGATTGCGCAGACCGAGACCGCCCATTGAAGTGGGGAAAAATAGGTATCCATCCGGGATGGATGAGATGCCGAAGCGTGAGGCGATCATATCCTTGACGTAGGCGCCCACCCCGCCGGCGTGGTCAGGGAAGAGCTTCTGCTGGATCCGCGCAAACATGGCAAGCATGCTGTCAACATGGGCACGGCCACTGCAGGCGGCGGGGCGGCCAAAAAAGTTGGTAAAAAAGCGGTCGCCGTAGATATTCCAGGCTTGCACCCAGTCAAATACCGATTGGCAAGCACCCAGCTGGCGGCGGAGTTCGTCGATATGCTCGTCGACCTTCGACTCGTCGATCTCGAAGTGACCCGTTGAGGCGTTAAGCTTAAGTAAACCCCAGGTAACAGGGCCGGTCGGAAGATTGTGGCTGGTTTTGGCAGTCTCCTCCTCCTTGGTTGACTCCAAGCCCACCTTCTTGTTCTTGGGATGAATAATCGCTGATCCTGTCTTCTCCTCATTGAGGCTCAGTCCCATGACCTCGCTGAACTCCGTCACCACCTTCCATGCCTTGGAGCACTTCTCTGTGGTACCCCAAAGCCACATGTCGTCGTGAAGCCGGTAGAGAGGCGTTCCGTCGGCCTTCTGGTTGACCGCAAAGTCCAGGCAAAACAGCAGGGACTCGCCCACGACATCGGAAATTGTGCTGCTTATCGGGGTGCCACGCTTGCGGATGCCAAAGGGAGTGTCGGGGTTGGGGTCGCCTTTGAACCGAAGAGGGGCCTCTAGCACACGCTTGAAGAAGTCAAGCCATTCTTCGTTGAAGCCAAAGAACTCCATCACGGCGAAGATGCTCGAGTGCGGCAGTCCAGGACCAAACCATTGAAAATCAGACCGAAGCACGGTTAGTTCGTTACCCATGTGCGTCTGGACGAGAATGTCAGCTTCAAGCCGGTGCATGAGACCCTGTACCACTCTCAGAGGCGAGTCTCTTGTGTCCTCTTTGCTGTCCGCTTCTGATGAATCATACCCGCCGCGGACCTCCGACATCCATTCGGGGAGATGATCCAGCAGAATCTTGCCATGGAAATAATCCTCGCGCTCATAGGCGACGCTATCGGAGAGGGGTTTCTTTTCATCCAGAAAAAACTGTCGACGTCTCGCATCCTGCTTTGACATGGGTTTCGTGTCAGGCTTCCACACGCCTGTGGTTGCGGTGAATCTCCCGAAGTGTTGTCGAATCAATACTGCCCATCGGCGAAAAATGTACTCGAGGAGCAGCGAATGCAGCAGGTCCTCGTCTAGGAAGAATCTGTACTTCCCATTCAGAGCCCGACGCTGCTCGACCACCACAGGCGCCTCCCAGGTCCAAGACGCGCGCGCATCCATACGCATGTTCAGCACATCTGCGATCTCCTGCAGGACGACCGAGTTGTTCAGGAAGTCGCGAAGGGTGCTGCGCTTCTCACCCGTAATGTTGTTGCTTCGCAGGATGCTCTGGATGCATACCTTGACCTGTAACACGGTGAAGGGGTGTGACCAGTTCGCATTCTTGTTGTCCTGAAGTTTCTCAAAACTCTTTCTCAGCTCCGCCAAAGCGCGCTTGCAGTCCTTCGACGACCCGGCAAAGACGTCCTCCAGATACCGCTTGATGGCGTCTTTGTCGGTCTCCTTGGGGGTAAAAACAAATTCTTCCCACGTCTTCCTCTGTTCATGCATCTCCTTCCTCCCAACGGGGACAAAGTCGTCCTTATCAGCCTTGTCACCCCCTTCAGTGACCGACATCTTCTTATCCTGCCCAGACGCAGCGGTCCACTCCCTGACCATCCGGCCGTACATGCTGGCAAATCTGTACTTGTTGCTCGTCATGTCCAACTCCTTCTTCACCGTCTCCTCATACTCGCGCAGAAGATCCTTCGACACGGACGGATCGAAAGCCGCCTGTTCGACGAACCGCTTCATGTTGTCGGCCGACAGCATCGGGTTGTCAGCTCTTCTGATGGATGGCAGCTTCTCGCGACCATCGAGAAGGGTCTCTGCACGCTTGCGGACGTCGGCCTCCTTGTCGGCAGCGGAGAGCAGAGCGTCTTTGGCCGACTCGTATGCATCCTTTTGCTTTTGGAGCTGGTCCAGCTTGATGGAGGTGATGGAGGAGAGGGTCTGGGAGAGGACTTCTGAAGAGGCGGCCATGTTTGCGGGTGTTGATCCGAAGAAGCGTGTATGCTGACTTTGATATGATGTAGAGAGAATTGACTGTGACAAGTGGTAAGCTTTTGCCAGTGGGGATACTATTCCGCGTTGCTTATCCACTTACTGGTGACGATTGAGCTCGATACTGGCGATCAGTGGGTAACCAAAAAAGAGGAGTTGCGGCTGAATGTGTCTGGACCAGAAAAGATGGAAGACGAAACGGAGGGCGGCCGCCCTTATGTACTCTACTGAAGAGGTATCGCATGTTTCCCGTCTGTCACTGCCACAAACGAGAGGAGTTTGTTGTTTCTCTCATGTTGAAGGAGCGTTTCCCGACGCGAGGCAACTTGGGAAGCTACAGCCATCCTGCAAACAGCGCCAACACTGCGGCGAAAGAGTAATACCACCTCAGTCAACGGCGAACTTAATGAAGAGGTCTAGCTACCTTCTGCTTTGGGACCGGCGAGTTGGCGTACTAGGTGGGCAGGTTTGCTTTGCAGTACACACAGTGGTGACTGGTGAGTCAACCGGCCAGACTTGCCCGTCGGGTGCGTAACCCTTACCTACTTCCAGTTTCCTCGTCCAACGTGTTTGCATCGTCAAGCATATGAGTTGATGAAAGAGCAGCCAGAACACCGCGATGGGGTTGACCGACATACTGCAGTCACGCATAGTGTCACTTTTGGTTTATTTGCTTGCTTCTTGCTGACACTTGCGTTGTGTCGGAGAGAGAAAACCATGCAAAAGGCAACCACAGTGCCTTAAATGTCCCTAATCACTGTGTACGTAGTGTGCCATGCATTCTACTTACTACTGGAGTGTAACCTTTACAGAACTACATAGACAGCTATACGCATTCACAAGATCTGATACGGTGTTTCGATATTGGACAAAGCATAAGTATTGACAATACGAAAACGCCTATGGAACTTGACCCGAGGTCTCGAGCTAACAATCCAACCAGTATCGGACGACTGTAGACTACACGACTGAAACTGAATGCGGTTGGCCGAAAGCCAAGCCAGCGTCTTATCATATTCCTCGCCGAGTGGACCTTTCCACTTACAACGATTGAACACCTAACCTTCCCTTTGATACCTACACTCTTGGGAAAGATCTCAATTGTAACAGTTTTCAAGTAAGTAATTGATAGGCCGGGAAGGAAGTGCTTAGTCGTCATTGTGTGTATGTTCAATATCTTCTCGGTCTTGTCAGTCTAAGTCTCCTGCTCGAGGCAAGTGGATGCGTCCATGGCGGCTTCTCATTGAATCATGGGCATCAGAATCTCCCTCCTTTCTCCAAAACGCAAGTACAATCTTCAAGACAAACATGAAAACCAGCGTTGGCTTTACCCCCCTTCGCCGTACATGCAAATTTGACAGCAGCAGCATTTCTATTACTCTGCACCGAGAGTGGGAAACAACATGTACGTGGAAGTTGCTGTTAGTAAGTAAAGTGAGACCATCAGGCAATACCGGAGGGTTGTAGGCCGCCTCGTCATTATTCTCAGGCTGAGGATCTCTCGTCCAGCCAGTGTTTGCTTGGACCCTTTTCCCACTGGCCCTATATACACTACCAGGGATGTTAGCAGCTACCTGCTCGATGTCAGTGGCTTAGCCATGACCTAGTGTATAGGGCTGAAGACGCGAAAGTTGTGGATGACATCAACTAATAATATAGCCGATGATCTTGGCGTCACCTTCCCAGCCGGACTTTGCACTTCATGGCCTGCTCTGATTCCACACGTTTCGATATTTAAAGCAACAAAAGGGGGGTGTAGGAAGGGCATGGATAAAAATGTCATAGTTATCATTCGATTCATAATTACCAAGTTTCCATCTTTTCCAATGCTACCCAACCAAACCGACTACCTCTATCTAGCTCCAACGTTTCGCCTCTAGTCATCCATTGGAGCGTCCACAAGCGTCACTGGCGCATGGCCGCCACTCAAGTTCTCCTTTTCACTTCCGCTTGGCTGTTGAGAGGCGGCTGTCGTCGAGGCAACCACAGGGATGCGACGGCCAACCGAGATGCGTGCACCACTCCGACCCAGGCTGTTGCGCTTCTCTACTAGGCTGCTACGCTTATCCGCCAGGGGGTCAGCCGTCTCGGACTTGGGCGTCCCGGCCTCAGCAGGGGCAGCGCCATTCGGGTTTCCATCGGCTGGGTGGCTTATGGCTGAACCAGCCTCTTCCGGAACCTCGAGACTGGACCTCTTGGGCAATACCGGGCCCAGGCTTGGCCTCTTGCCATGCTGCTGGCTAGAAGTAGGGCTCGTAATACCGCTGGGGGAAATGGGGAACCGGGTCTCAGGTCCGCCAACGCTCCTGTCGCGACGGTGAGCGCGTGGTCCCGGTGCCGGCGATGTAGCTCTGCTTCTGCTACCATTGGCCTTCTCCAGAATCAATCGGTTCCGCTCCTCCATATTCGCCCTGCGGTTGCTCTCGTCGGTGGAAATTGCGCGTGGACGGTTGTTGTTTCCCGAAATGGTCGCAGACGCGCCAAGAGTGGACATGCGCTTCAATTCACTGAAGATCGCATCCTTATGCGCGAACAGATCGCGAATCAAGCGGTAGGCGTGCTTCTCTTCCATGGTGAGTGATGTTTCGGTACGTGGGCGGAGAATGCATGGGGCCAAGGTAGTTGCTAGCTTGGCCACATACTCCTCGTCCGCAGAAGTGAGCTCGATCAATCGGGTGAAGTGGTTCATGCAAGCATCGAGGGTAGCAATGTTGGTGAGCCGTAGCTGCGACAGAGTCTGTTGGAGAACAGGGATGCGGGCGTCTTCGCTGCTATCTTGTGTTGTGTTGTAAATGGTCCGGATGATTTCGTAGACATGAGAGGATACCAAAGAGTCTAAAATATCCGTGTCAGTAAAGCAATACCAATATTCCAGTGGGGGTTTAAATGAGAGCATACCAGGAAGTTCGAGTAGGTAGAGTTTCAACAGATTGGCGACGGTGGGAACATCAAACTCGGCAAAGACTTCCAACGAGGGAGGTTTTCCATTGTTGACCTTGGCGCGCAGCTTGTGGGTGTCCTTGAGGGAGACTTCATGAAGCCATACTCCACGACGAGCCTCATCGCCCTCTAGATCCGGGTAATGGTGATCCAGGTACGTTAGCAGGGTAGTGACAATGATCGGCACACGCTTCTTATCCGCCCGAGCACGAGCCTCGAGATCTACACCAAATGTTTGCTCATCAACCTTGTTGTAGTAGTTTTCGTAGGTCACAACCTTGGGCACAAAGCTGCCAGTCCGATAGTTCTCCAGCAGGTAACGGAGGTCGCCCAATGGCTGTACCGTCTCCTGGTAAAGCATCATGTTGTCTACAGTAGATTGCAGACTGGGAATGACGTTGCTGATGGTACCAGAAAAGTCCAACACCACGGTCTTGATAGCCTTGAGCCTGTCAAGCTCGCAACGCTCGAGGAACTTGAGGTGCAGAAAGATGGCCTCCTCCAGCTCACAGCGCATCTCATCCAGCTTCTGGACGGCAGCCTTGTACTTCTCATCAGCTTCTCTGGCCTCACGGCGCATGCGCTCAGACGGAGTTTCGTTGGGGCGCCCATTGTTAACACCGGGGATGTTCCAGTTGGCAAGGTACTCGCTCACGACACCGACAACTGGCGAGTCGCTCCCTTCGGATCCGTTGGATAGGGGCATCGAGAATGTTCGGCCAACGGGAGCCTTCTTTTCCGGAACACCAGCCAGCTTGAACGCCTGAGGGCGCCATTGGTAGGACATCCTGGAACTGTTGGCGAAAGTGTTTCCGACATTACCGATCAGACGAAGAAAGCCGTGGGTGATGAGATCCTGGCCGATCCTCTCAGCATAACTGATGCTCGTGGTGCCCATATGTCGCTGCAAGTATTCGACAATATCCGTACCAGCCGACGTGTTCTGATACGTTCCCAGGATCGGGACCTTGGTCTCGCCCATCTTGATGTTGTTGAGCATGTGGGCGAGGATCTTCTTGATCTGGTCAGGCGAATAGGTCTCATCGCCAATCTCGTACGGCTCGTCATCTTCCTCCTCCTCGGGCTCAACCTTGATTTCGGGAATTGGCTGCTTGGGCTTCGGACTCGCTGCCGATTCGGGGTCTTGGAAGGCCAACTTGTTTTCTTCTTCGAGATCCTCTACCAAGCGGCATTTATTGAAATAGTTGCTGCGCAGCTTCTTGACAAGTTCGGCTTGTTTGTCGTGGGCCTTGATCTTTGCCTGGAGCTCTTCCTGCGAATTTTGTAGCCGAGATTCGTGGGCGTCGCACCAGCGCGTAAAGGGGTTCACAACTAGATCTCGGATGTTTTGCGCAATTTTCTTGTGGTTCTTGGAGGCGTCTTCCATCTCGGTCCGCACACCTTCATAAGCCTGGCGGGGGAGACAAGTCAGTCAACGCTGTCTCGGCCAAGATGAAGCCTGGTCTGGCTTTGCTGGCATGTGATTCGTACCTTGCGCACACTTGCGCCATCGTCGCGGTTGAAGCCATTTGGGATCTTGTCAACAGCAGGGGCAATTTCGGATAGACGCTGACCATACACGTCCTCGGCTTCGGCGCGCATGCGAGCGATGGTCAGGAGTTGGCGGTTTTCGACCACGCCTTGCTGGAGCTTGCCAAACAGGACCCCGAGGCCTGAGCACGTGTGCGTCAGCACGGCCGACAACGACAGCGGATCTACTGGCGACAGCCAAACTACTTACCTGCGGCGTAGTCGTTGGACCAGAAGGAGTCCGCGAAGCCCGGCATTGTGGTAGGGAGGGCTATCGCTCGATAGGATGAGTCGGTGGTATGTAGCAGAGACGATGATGTTTGGGATGAATTAACTGTGGGAAATGTTGTGGCAGCAGGGGCAGCGAGAGTTTTTGGTCGGCGCGCTACGCTGGAGTGAGGCTGAGGCAAGCAGGATCCCAGCTGATAATCCTCGCCTAGGTCTGATTGAGGAGAGGCCAGTGAATACGGTATACGATCCGTCAGGGTAGTCCAAGTCGGGATCCGGGGTGGTTGATCCCGTCAGTGTCGTTTCTCGAAGAGCCAGTTGAACTAGGCGGCGGGAAGGTGGGTAAGTCTGGCGGGTCTGGGATTAAAGGGGGGGCGCAGCGCCGCCGAGTGGCCTGGGGATGGAGACGACGCAGGCACCGTGATAGCAGCGGGGGTCTCTTTCAACGGAGCTCAATGCCGGTCTCCTTGTCGTGGGGTCCAACTATCCGGATATGGGACCAAATCACTACCTGGATAGTCGACTAGGTACCTTCCTTGGTGATGAGAATGAAGTTGGCGGTGATCGCCGACGGAACTAGGAAGGAACAACAAGAGCAAAATGCAGTGGCCTGCTAAAGTGTCAAAGTAAAAAGAAGTGAAGTTGAAGAAACGCTGGGGGGAAGCTTCAGGGGAGGGGAAGGAGAAGCACCGGCAGCCAAATTGGAAAGACACAAGGCAAAAGTCGTTGTCGATGAGTGTGGCAGTGAGAAATAGCAGTCAGTGAGCAGAAGGGACGAACGGGCATTCGTGAAACAGGGGCAACACACACTCAAACTTCTTCTAGTACAGCACGCAGATGGATGCACTTTTACCTAGAAGAGGTGGACGGCAGGATGTGGTGCGCTTGCAGGTAGGTAAGGTAGGTACGGGCAGGCCGAGTGGAAGTGGTGGAGGTGCAAGGACGGTGTCCACCGGGAAGTGTCATGGTGGGTTGGTTGTCGTCGGGCAGCCAAGTCTCACTCATTCAGTTCCAAGTTTCATTGGAGGAGGGGCAGCGTCAGAAGGATCCACACGTGAGGTACAAGTGCGCCCTAAAATAGGTAACCTCAACCTCCTCGTGTAGTAGGGGTCGAGGGGTCTTGAGACGGGATGGAGCCTATCAACCTAGAGTTCCCGTGCCTGTGTCTTTCTGGAATGGAACTTAGTTTTACACTACTACTTGAAGGTGAGTGGTCTGCGGATACTGTAGTGCTGAACTGAATGACTGAGACTTAGGCTGTGAACCCCACTGTCCCTCCTCGGATGTGCCAAGACCGTTCTCATTGGATGTCCAGAGCACAAAGTGTAACGAAGCATCACCATCGGGCAGCTTCGCCGCCAGCAGGGTCAAGATCACCGATGAGATACAACAGAATATGAACGGTTGAGTAGTATTGTGCTTCGGGCTTGGCTTTTGCTTTGATGGGAGATGAAGGAACTGGAATGGCTCAAAGGCTGTGGTCAGTCAGTCATGGATGCTGCCGTGCACTTTATATACAACGCCAAGATACCCACCCTCGAGCCGGTATGGTAGATCTCAGTTACAGTGAGTCTTCATTACTCCTTTCTACCTATTCGTGCCTTGACTTGGATTCTAGATGTGGTCACTTGAGACGCAGCGGTAGGTCTACACCAAGTATACACGCTTATTTTGCATCTAACCCAAGATGATGCGTATGCATTTCCAGGGCGCATCATCGATGACATGACAACGCCTCGGACTATCAACTAAGATGAAGTAACCCCGCTAAGCTTTAGGCGATTTCTAATCCTTCAACGACAACACCGTAAACACGCTCCCCTGTTTCTACTCACGCATCTTTTTTCCCTTTTCCCTCATTCATCGCTTTTTCCGTCATAACGTTGGTGAAACAGTCGTCCCTGAGAAGATGAAGGAAGAAAAGCCCCGCGATGTCGGGGATGTTGAGCGTTTATCCGCCCCCATCAACACGCGCCGCCAACGGCGAGGAGTTGGCCGCAAGTTCTGGGGCGCCGTAATCATCTCTCTTTTGTTGCTTCACCTTCTCGTCCGACCCGCCAGCTATGGCATGTCGGGTTGCCTGCCCGGCTACCCGAGGGAGAAGAGCGTTGAAAAACGCGTGAAGCGTATCCTGTCACACACTCCCTTGATCGGTACGACCACAAATCAATAACTATTCACCAAATACTGACATAGAGTCTAGATGGACACAATGATTTGCCAATCCTGCTGCGAGCCGCTTTCAAGAACCACATCAATGATAAGAACTTTACCACCGGCTGGGAAGACGGCACACTCCCCGGTCATGTCGACCTTGCGCGCCTGAGAGCTGGCATGAACGGAGGGGCCTTCTGGAGCTTGTTCTGGCCTTGCCCTACCAACGGCTCCGACTTTTCTGACGAAAACTATCTGCCCGGTGGGTTCAACCTCTTACGCAGCCTTACTGCATAGTACGTAAAGAGAAAAGAGTCTGACATTATCCCTTGCCAATCACACAGCCGTCCAGGCTACCCTCCAACAGATCGACCTAGTCGACCGCCTCAAAGCCGCCTATCCCAAGGACCTCGGGCCGGCAGTCTCCAGCAAAGCCGCCTACAAAGCCTGGAAGCACCACAACCAGCTCATCTCGCCCATGGGCATCGAGGGCCTGCACCAGATCGGCAACTCGGCCGCCACGCTGCGGCGCTACCACGCCCTGGGCGTCCGCTACGCGACCTTGGTCCACAACTGCGGCAACAAGTACGCCGACGCGGCCCTGCAGGAGAACCCATTCCGCAAGGCCCCGTCCCACTGGGGTGGCGTCAGCCTGGCCGGCGAAGCCCTAGTCAACGAGATGAACCGCATCGGCATGATCGTGGATCTGGCCCACACCAGCGTCGACACGATGAAGGATGTTTTGGATGGCTCGGGCAAGGACTGGAAGGGCAGCAGGGCCCCCGTAATCTTCAGCCATTCGAGCGCCTACGCGCTGTGCCCCCACCCGCGCAACGTGCCGGATGACGTCCTTCGTCTGGTCAAGGAGCGCAACTCGCTAGTTATGGTCAACTTCTCACCGGACTTTATCTCGTGCGTGGCGGCGCCGGACAGGGACGATGGGCTGCCGGATTTTTACCCGGCCAATGCGACTTTGGAGCATGTGGCTGACCATATCATTCATATTGGCGAGCTGATTGGATATGATCATGTCGGTCTGGGTAGTGACTTTGATGGGATTCCAGTCGTCCCGAAGGGACTGGAAGATGTCTCGCGCTACCCGGACTTGGTAGCCGAGCTGCTTCGACGGGGTGTTAGTGATGAGGATGCGAGCAAGGTCGTAGGCGGTAACATACTTCGCGTATGGAGGGATGTTGAGCTCGTGGCGGCTACGATGCAGGCTGCTGGTGAGTCGGCTCTGGAGGATGATCTGCCTAACTTGATGCCCGAGGAGTAGACATCTGAATGGGCGGCACGTAGAGGAGATTAACGTGTTTCCGCACAAGTATTTTGGCAGCGTAGATAGCTCCAAGATGAGCCTGCAGATGGTAAGCTGCTTATATAGAGACACAAGACCTGGCTAGCATATAGACTCGGGAATTGGGTATCATAAATTCTGTCGTAATTCGAGTCAAAAAGCAAAAAGTTGCCCGTGTTTTGACTTGATCCGATAAATTGCTCTACAACGCCGCGCCTGATTCCTTTTGCGTCCCAGCGTGTCTTCGTTCTGGCTTGACGTATTGTACACTGATTTTGCCTGCGTGCCTGTCCTAAAAGCTCGACAACACCCAGCCGAGCCACGTCAGGCACACCTCTTTCATATTTGTCTATGCATTTGATCCCATGGTCCGACAACCATCGAAGCATATGTCGCATGACAGAACTGCTCCAGAAATATCCAGACGTCTTGGTATTCTCCAAAGTTCCCGTCACCATTGCCGTCATCGACTCGCTCAACCGTGGCGCTCGATCTTGTTGAGCTTCCTGGCGTTGGCGATCTGGTTCCTCGTCTGCTGACCGCGCACGGGCAGACCCATGGCATGGCGACGACCGCGGTAGGTACCCATATCACGGAGGCGCTTGATGTTGTCCAGCACCAGCCTCCTGGCGTCGTTCTCGATTGTCATGGTCGACAGTTCGGCCGTCAGGGCAGTGACGATCTTGGGCGGGAGGGTGCCCATCTTAGCGCGCGGGTGGATCGAATACTTTGCGAGAATGCGGGCAGAGGCCTGCTGGCCTAGGCCGTAGAAGCTCTCGAGAGCTTTCTGTGGTTCGCAAGTGGAAGGTTAACCAGGGTGATTCTTCGAGCGCAGAGGAGGACGAGGACGAGGATGAGGAGGAGAGCGCACCTGGACGAGCTTGTGCTCATTGAAGTTGACTCCCAGGATGAACACCTAGTGATGAAATGTTAGAACTCTTGGACAAATATTCGAGGAAATCGTGGAGGCCGTCGTAGGTACCATCTTGTTAGCCGACGATAAGTCACCTTGTCGCAATGGGCATAACTCGGTTCAGGAATCGCGGAGGAGTCTCGACTCTCTCAGCAACCCGCAACCAACCCGCGATTTGGAACCGGGCGTGCAGACTTGCCGGGCAGGCGGCGGATCGTGGGGGAGCCCGCATTGGCCGGTGCAAATCCGCAGCGGAGCATTTGGGGTGCTGGACAGCTGGCATTGAGTACCCCGCCAGCTGTCGCCATAAAGGTTATACACATGCGATTGCACCTCATGCATACACTTTACCGTATGAGTCTTGCGAAAAGAAAGCCAAAATTTCATGGCGATGTGCCAAAAATGCAGATGAACAACCACTCACCATACACATCATGACGGTCGACTTTACTGCGAGGCCGGAAAAGCCTCTTCCATACTCGGATGATTTTTCATCTGCTGATCAATACGTCGACAGCCTGCTGGACTTTGCGACCAATTCCCACCTTTTCCAGTTTCTCTGTGGTGGTGTCCACATTCTTGACTTCTTCACCAGCGAGCCCGGCCTGTTTGTCTCTGCCGTTCCCAAGGAATGGCAGGACTACCTGGTGCAGACCGAGCCCATGGTCCTTTTGGATTTCTTGATGAGAGATGATCTTGACACACTTGCCGCGCAACCTGGCCCCGGACAGCCTCCCGAGACGCTGATTCAATATGTCAAGGACATCAGGAAACTTTCTTTACGACGCTCCTTCCAGCCCAGCAAGCCAAAACTACCAGTGCTTCCTCGGCAGGTAGCTTTGGGAATGAACACCAAGAAAGTTCACGAAGTCACTCACTTTTCCGGATACATCGACAGGCTCTCGGAGGACGTCGCTCGGGTGAGGGGACAGGAACTGACGCACTTGGTAGACTTTGGCAGTGGCCAGAATTATCTAGGCCGCGCTCTGGCGAGTCCTCCGTACAACAAGCATATCGTTGCCGTGGAGAGCAAGGAGGCCAACACAGCAGGCGCCAAGGATCTCGATATCTTGTCCGGTCTAGCTGAGCGGGAGAAGAGAATCCGCAACAAGAAGCTCTACCACCGCATCATGGAAAGTGTAGATCCGTCAGAAGCCAACGATGAAGAGGCACTGAAGCGCGCCGCAAAGGCACTGGGTGTGACAGACGAAGATATTGCTACCATTGATCTCCGATCGAGAAAGGAGCTTCAGGCCACTTATGCGCGGGAGGAAGGAAAGGGCAGCATTGAGTACGTCGTTGCCAAGTTGGGAGATGCCGACTTGGCCCCTGTGATCTCCCAGTTGGAGTACACGGAAACCCACAGCGAGGATGATCTCAGCATGATGGCTGTGTCCATCCACTCATGTGGCAACCTCTCTCACTACGGCATCCGGTCCATGGTTCTGAACTCGTCCATCCACGCTGTTGCAATCGTGGGTTGCTGCTACAACCTTCTCACCGAAAAGCTGGGTCCTCCGACTTTCAAGCCTTGCTTCAGTCGGCCAACCCTTCAGCCATTGAATGCTCGTGTTGTCAGGGAATCCGAGAGACGAGATCCCCAGGGTTTCCCCATGAGTGAGAAACTCTCTACCTACAATGACCAAGGCATCCGACTCAACATTACAGCGCGTATGATGGCGTGCCAAGCACCTGGGAACTGGACCGACAAGGAGAGTGATGCCTTCTTCACCCGCCACTTTTACCGCGCCGTCTTGCAAAGGATATTCCTCGACAAGGGGGTCATTTCCAAGGTCTACCACGGGCCAAGCGAGGGCGAGGACGAGGGCGAGAATGGCAACGAGAGCCCGTTCAACTTCAGCACCAATCCCGTCGTGATCGGCTCACTCAGGAAGCAATGCTACACCTCGTTCAGCGCCTACGTCCGCGGAGCGATCACGAAGCTGACGACCAACACGGACTTTAGCCAGTACAGCCAGATTGTACGCGAGAAGCTGAGCGACATTACCGACGAGGAGATTGCCAGGTACGAGGCCGCGTACCTGCCCCGAAAGCGGGAGCTCAGCGCAGTCTGGAGCCTGATGGCCTTTAGCGCGTGCGTTGTCGAGTCCCTTATCGTGACCGACCGGTACCTGTTCCTCAAGGAACATTCCGATATCGTTCGCGACTGCTGGGTGGAGACAGTATTTGACTATGGCCAGAGCCCTCGAAATCTCGTCGTCGTGGGTATCAAGAAATAAGAAGACGTGTAGGAAATAAAACGATGTCGGATGAGTTGTCTCCTCTTCCCCAGCCACCTTTGTCTTTCACGCATACCTAAACTGCAATCTCTCGGATATTGTACCCCTGGGGTCGTGCGGGATGTTGCAAGACATTTGACTTGTTGACCTGATATATCTATTTTTGTGTCCATCCAGGTTATACCCTATGTCTATCTATCCCGGGGGTTTTATTCCGCAAATGGAGAGAGTCGCAGGACTGTCGTTCCGAATTTCTGCACGCATTCGGTTCGGCTAGTGGTTGCATCCTTCTTCGATGGGGAACTGCCATTTAGCATGTCGCAATAGGTTGAAACGATCTGTCCCACGCTGCAGCATACCCCTTGGATCGGAGAGCTCTGTAGCCTTCTTGCAGTTTGCCGTTGCATGTTGAGCCGAATAAGAAGACTCGACATTCCGATGACCATCAAGCATGGTCTTGGGTATGCCGGATCCCCTAATCACTTGCATGTTTGATAATTTGCTTCCGGACAGAGGCTGCCACGAGACAGAGTGAAAGCCAGAACTCGGTCCGATGATCGGTGTTCAAACCTTCTCTTCTAGGTGGCACAAGCTCGGGTACCGCGACCTGTCAAGCAGAAGCAAAGCAAACCGGAACATACAATTGAGCTTTTTTGGCCAATCATGCGAGAACGAACAAAGCTTTGAAACAGGGGCGTTCTTTGCTGCGTTATCTCTTGTCTCTTGTTGTACAAAGGCAAGTTCAAGTTCTCGGTGTGGCTTCTGACGTGCCGCGTTTTCTCGACATGACCGGTGTGTAACTGGAAGGGAAACTATCAGGTGAAGGCTGCGAAGACTCGAGAAGTTGGCTGTTTCCGAAGATGGTCGACATGTGCTTCCTCCTGGCTATAGTGATCCGATCCAGGCTGACTACCAAGAAAGGAACAGGGGAGAAAGAAGGGGGGGGTTTCACTTCTCGGGATTTGATCTGTCTTTTTTTGCGCTGTTCAACAAGAGAGGCTTCCCCCACACTTTCTGCTGCCCAAGGAGAAGAACCAATGACCCTTTTGCGAGGGTCAATTGTTGTTGCGGTGGCGCCAGGTCACCAGCAATGAGGTGAAACTGAAAGGCTGTGAAAGGAACCATGGCTGACAGGCAGGCAATCTTGAGGGCGCAAGCAGAGGTGAGGTACCTGCGTTTCGTCCTTTGACTTTGCTTTACATGTATAGTACACTACATTGCCTACGTAGTGCCGGCATGGCATTGTAGGTACATTACCTAGGAGGTGTGCGTTGTAACCCATCTGTCTTACTGGCGTTTGCCCAGAGTGGTGGAGCAGGAGATGCAAAATAGAAAGAAGTAGACACCTCTCCTCTTGTAGAGGTATGTATGCATCGACGTCTTCCACTCATGACGTGCTTGGCGATGATTCGAATCGGAGTGATCTTGAATCTTGGTGTAGCCCGACAAAGACCGCATTCTGAACGCCGAAATCAATATCCATTATCAAGAAGGCAAAGTGAGACAGAGATGATGGGAATAGGTTGCAGCATTTCGAGAACGCTAGATGCACCCGAGGGGACATGACAAGCGCCCGCGGTTACCTGCAGGTGCGCAAGCATGGAGGTGGATAAGTGATGTGCCGAAGACCCCTGGTCCTGATACACTAGAAAGACATTTTTTCACCGGGTTTCCTCTTCTTCTTTTTCTGCTGACATTTTCTTTTTATGTTTTGTCAAAAGGCGCCTGACCGACCGATAGTGATACCCCCACAGGCGATCTCATGTGATAGAAAGCTCTCGGACCCTCACTGGGTCTGGTTTGATAGTACCTATAACGGAAGCGTGTCCGGACTGTTTTTCACATCGCCTGCCCCGCCACCTACCTACCTGGTGCCTGCACTGGACGCAAGGTTATACATACTGCGTACACTAGCTAGCATACCTGGACTCTACACCTATCGTCAACCCCTGGGTATGCAGCCCGGTGATCATTCCAAATATTTGAATCGAGGACTTGCATCGATCGCCATAGCACTAAATACTGCATCGCATGCAGGCATCATCACTATATATGCAGGCGGACTTCGTCTTGAGGTTCTGCCGTGGGTTCGAAAGAGGTTCTCCAACACGATGGCCAGGGCCCCGGCTTAGGTTATAGCACAATCACGGGCAGGTAAGGCACCTCTACCTTATCAGTTCTTCTCCCGGACCCAGACGCTCCCCCCGATCTCGGGTCGGGTCCCCTTCATCCTCTGCCCCGCCAAGCTTTACAATGTCACAAAGAGAGCAAGTAGATACTGTACTCAGCAGATGGAGAACTGAAGGAAGTGGAACTGGAGAAGCGCTCACTCCCTCTTACATTCATCACTTTGACGAAGGAGCTTCCACTTGTTTTCGATATGCCCATCTCTTTTTTCCCTCTTTTACGTCTCTGAACCTTCGCTTATTCATCTCAAATTTCTTTAATATCTCCATATATCCTTGCCCTTCTGGTCCTTGTCCGTTCCTCTCTCCTTTGGGTTGACTCATCCATCCTTTCCACTTCCACAATCTCCTATCTTGTATACTTTGACGATTACCCCCCACCTACCCATTGAGTTCCCTTTCCATCTCGCGTCCTCGGTGACTGGACTCGCGGCTCTTTCAGTCCGACCGAGCCTACTTTGTTTCACATAGCTACCTGCTGATCCACCTATCTATCTCCTATCTTTACAGATCGACAATCCAAGAACTGACATTTTGTGACGTGACGACGGACTCCGCTTTGATTGTACGGAATAGATCGGGAGTCCGGAACAGTCACCTACCCAAAAACGATCCAGTGGACCCCTCAAAACGCACCTCACTTTCGCCTTACCCAGGTGTTACTCCAAAACTGTTTAAAGCTCAACTCCTCTTTTTCGAGACGTCACAAGGTCACACCTTGATCACCTCATTTCTCATCACCCCTTCGACGCCATTCATTCGAATTTTTTTTTTTTTTTTTTTTTCTTCAGAGGCGATAAATCATCGCAGGAAATAGAAGTGACAAGGGTTCCATCCTGGCTGTCTTTCTCAAAATCACCAAGGCGTGCCTTGGGCATCTTACGGAAACCATCAAAGAGAACTCCAGATCAAGGGAAGCAATCAACACACATTCATTGCTATGAACGCACAAATAACTTTCCTGGTAATCCATCCCCTTTTCCGTATTTCTTATACCATTCTCACCCCACAATAGCATCGCTAATCCTTCCTCTTGGAAACCAAAATAACAGGATGGAACCCTGCGTCTCATCCACATTCCCCTCCCCCTCTACTCAACCTTCCTCCAACCCATCCTGCAGATCCTTCTTCCACCAAGCCAACCATTACCATCAGCAACACCCTCACCACCCGTCGGTAACTTCCACCACCAAGATGAAACAACCTTTCTAAACATCTCCATCACGCCCCTCGAATGCTCCGTCGTCTGCCCCTCCTCCTGGGCCCGCGCCGTCTTTGAGCCCGCCATCGCGCGCCTACCAGAAGACCAAGCAAAAACGATTTCGGTTTCCAAGGATGCCTACGCCGTGTTTTCCGTCATCAGCGCCGGCATGGACGCCGGCTCGCGCGTCGTCGACTTGACTTGCCCGCTTGCCTTGGCGGGGATCCCGATTTTCTTCATCACGACGTATTACTCGGACTTCATCCTGGTGCCGACCAAAGACAGGAGAGCGGTGGTGGAGACGTTGAGGGCCAAGGGCGGATTTGTATTTGTCGAGGAGGAGGGTGGAGATGAAAACGGGTTCGATGGGTATGGATCGAGGAGGGGGTCGGTGACTATGGCGTCCGGGATGGGTTATCATTATGCCAGCGCATCAAGTGGAAATGGCGGGCTTAGTGGGATGTTGACCCCGATGATGCCGACTACGCCGCCCCCTTCAGATGCAGGGGAACTGCAGCTCAAGACGTTTGAGACGCTCAAGAGGCGGAACGTGGTGCCGTTTGTGGAACCCGGGTTGAGGCTGGTGCATTGCTCGGGGAGGGAGAAGACAAGCATCCACGGCGGCGGGGGCGGCGAGGGCGGACGTGGCCATGGACATAGTGGAGGGAATGTTTCCATGACCGGCGGCAACGGGACGGCCTACAGCGGTGAGATTGATGGGGACGGAAGCGCAAATGGCGGCGCCGGTTACTACCCGCGCAGAAGGAGGAACAGCTGGATTGACACAGTCGACACCAAGCTGTACACAAGCATCATCTCGGCGCTGGTGTCGCAGCCGCGGTTCCTCTCGGTGACCCTGGCGCAAGATGACCCCCCTTCGCTGCTGCTGGACAAGGCGCTGGTGGACATGTTTGGCGACTCGCTGGTGGGACCGACAGAGGGCACGCTGGTACCCATCTTTCTCGACCTGGTCAACTTGCCGTTCGAGGCAACGGGCATCGTTTCGGGGGTTGCCGGGAGGTTGGTCAAGGACATGCCCATGGCGGAGAGCGTGGAGCTGTCGTACTTGTCGACGGCGAGGGCCGGCGCTGTGATCTTGTCCTGTGAGCAAGCCGTGACGGCTCTGGGCATCTTGGAGCCGTTGCTGAAAAAGCAGGGGTGAGTGACACCGTTTCCGATTGTGATGCGTGGCTGAGAAGGACATTCTGCGTTGGCCCGGCTTTGGGGATAGTCGTTCATGGTGAAAAAGCCCAAAAGTTTGTACAATCTCGACTCCTTCATATCGTGGTGTCAAAAATCGGCGCGGCGGAGGATAATTTGGCGTTGGCTGTAATCTTTGGAGAAAGTTGCATGGTTGGACGGAGCTGCGTGGTGTTTTGGCTGCGATGTAGCGAATGAAATCATCTTGATATCTGCTAAATAGGCCTTCGAGATCTCTTTTTCTCAATATTCTTGCTGTGTAGTTACTGTCAGCAATCAAAGCTGGGCAATCTTGAGACTATTACCAGCCCACTCATTTCCCACCCTTCTTCTTCTTCCCTTCCTGCTTGTTCTCCTCATCCACCAACCCCGCCCTAACAAACGCATCCCTCGCCGCGCCGTTAATCAGCGCAAACCTCCTCGGCCCTAGCTTCTGGCCTCCATACCACCGCGTCACCACGACCATGGTGTCCCACAGGTCCATCAGCTGCATCAAATGTAGCAGCCTGCCGCCCGCCGCCGTCTCCCCGTCGTCGTCGCAGTCCTGGAACGAAGTGCCGTTTGGCCCGCGGATCCGCCACGCCGTAATGTTGTGCGTAGCCGCCCGCACACGCTTGTCCGACGCCAGCAGGTGTTGCAGGTACTGCGCCGCCTGTTGCGGAGAGGCGACTGGCGCGCAGCGGGCGATGAAGGTCGATTTGAGTTCGATCATGGGGAGGGAGAGCGTCCAGGGAGGTTCGGGGCCAAGGAGATCTCCTCCTCCTCCTCCTGTCTGTGTATCATGAGTTGCTGCTGTTGCCTCATATGAGGATACCCTCTTTCCGTTTCCTTCCTCCACGTCCTCCTCCTCCTCATCCTCCTTCTCCGCCGTGGTGACTGCGGCTATGAGTTCCTTCACTTGCTCAATGGCATCAAACAGACAGACTTGGCCCGGCTCGTACACCTCGCCGACTGCGTCGCGGAACAGAGCCAGGTCTCGAGCAGCGGCGCCGCGCTTAGCGTGCTCGCCGGAGGAGTGGGTGCCGAGAACGACGGGTGGTTCATCGGGGTAGGCTGGGGGGAACTGAAGACGCAGGGTGGATGAGGTGATGTCGCCGGGGAGAGTCAGGATGTAAGTGGCGGGTGAGTCGTCGGATGGGGAGAGGGTGCCGTCGCCGTAGATGGAGTTGATGGCTTCGAGCTCGTCGGCTAGTTGTTCGGACATTGTGATCTCTTGTGTGAGCGCCGAGCTTCACACCGTCCGTTTTGTTTTCTGACTGGGCTGTAAACTGCTTTCACTTTGTGTGAGTCCGTCGTCATTGAGATTACTTTGTCTCGCTACTCGTATCAAGTGACCCAATATCGCCGTATTGCAAAAAGTTGTTGAGGACGTGATGTAAACGCCATCATGTCAGAGGCCTGCCAAGTGAGATCCAGTCAGTTCAAAGAGATATTTACAGGACATGCAATGGCGTGGAGGGGTAGGTACCCGTTAAAGTGCGGATCCACTTCCTTCCTTATGTATCCGGCTCTCCATGTACCTTGTACCTCGACTTGTGACCAAGAATGGACAGTACATCCGATCTGTAGGTGTGCCGCGGGAATGCGGTGTGAACTGTTGACTTTTAGTTGTCAAGATTACCTATGTGGCCGGGGATGCACCTTTCAACCTTACCGGCTCACACCCCAACCACATCGAATATCGTGACGAAAGGTGTTGACTATACATACCCCAAATCAGTCAGGTACCTGAAATATACCGATAGAAACAATCGTCGCATTCGTCATCTCCAATGACGGGTCCACATCGCCAATCGCGTTCCAGGGGCATCAGGGCCTGTCCCCGTCCGAGATCGACGCCAATTGGTTCCATTTCTTGTCTTCCAAGGGGGGAGGCGGCCAAAAAATCCCCATGTTTCGGGCTCCCGCCTTGGTCCCGGACCTGGAGGCTTGCAGGTCTTCTTCAACGCCGAGTTCGAGTCCGGCGGATCGGTGAACCGTCAACTCAACAAATCTTTAAACACCACCTCATCTGGTTGATTCCTTCCTGTCTTTGGTGCTATTCTTGTTTTAATCTTCTTTTTTCATGGGCGTACAGAGACGGCATCACGATACACGGCCCGAGATCTAGGCACTGTAGTGTACTACCAAACGCGCCCAGTTCAGCACTCGACAATCCGTTGTTGACGATCCCGTTCAACCCCCTTTTTCTTCGTCGCAAGTCTTTTTTGGATATCGCAACACCAACGCGAAGCGCGACGATACATATTCTTTGACGCCTACCCATACACATCTCGATTTGGTCTACCACGCGCCTATACACAATGTGGTGGTGGCTCACGGCCCTCTCGGGCAGCATCACTCCCCTCTTCCTCGTCCTCTCGCCCGTCCTCTCCTATGGCGACCAAGCGCACTCCATGCACAAGGCCAAGTCCAGCGCCGGCTTTTCTTTGGACATTCCCTTGATCATGCTTGTTGCTTCTCTGCTCAGGTTAGTTGCGCCCCAAGCCCACGGTCCGCATTGCGACTTGCGACGCTAGCTAACATCCGTGATTCGCAGGATATTCTACTATCCCGGCGCCAAGTATGACACCGCCCTGCTCATCCAGTCCCTCGTTATGGTCGGAGTCCAGGTCGTGCTCCTCAAGATTGCGCTGGACCACCGCCCTGCCCCATCTTCCAGGGGAGGTGACGCCGCTGTTCCCTTCACGAAGGCGCAAGACGAAGAATACCAGCGCCCATACAACTTTTGGCAGTGGAAGTCGCCCAAGCCGTACGTATTCCAATTGCTACTGTCCATTTGTCTAATGACGTGAAAGCTGACACACACACAGGTACTGGCAATTTGTCCTGTACCTCTTCGCCGGCCTTGTCGTCTGCCAGATCCTCTTCTCGCCCTTCGAGTCCCTCTACATGTCCTACTCCTCTCTGATCGGCTACATTGGTCTCTCCATCGAAGCGACCCTTCCCATCCCCCAGATCCTCATCAACCACAAGTCGCGCTCGTGCAAGGGTTTCCGCCTGTCGGTTTTGGCCATGTGGTTGGCCGGTGACGCCATGAAGATGTTCTGGTTCTTCACTTCGTCTAGCGAGATCCCCTGGTCCTTCAAGAGCTGCGGTATCTTCCAGGCCTGCTGCGACTCGTATCTTGGCGTCCAGTATCTGATGTATGGAAGCGGCGAGGGGGTCTCGAGCGCTATTAAGGAGCATCCTCTCCATGACTACCCCGTGTCTGGGAGCCATAGCGTGGTCACTAGCCGCGAAGGTGCTGCGGCGAGGCGGACGTCGAACGCTGACAAGAGGATATCATAGAGGATAGAAGATGGACTGTTTGGTATTCTATCATTGTAGAACTGCTGCGAGAAGATCCTTGATTGCTTCTGGTCAGCATCAGCTTGGAGAGCTGGTTATAATTGAATATTCTTTGCATTTTCTCTTCGACCGTTCGTTTTCATCCGTCTCAAATCTTGCTCTCATCCCTCTGCACCAGATTGATGGCCTGTCCTGTTCGGAAATTGTCCGGTTGCTGTTCCAAGAGTAGCTGTGCAACCAATCATGCTCCCAGGATCTTGGTTTTTTGTTTGCATGGATTTGGACGAAGCCTTGGGTCGCGAATTTGTGAGGGATGGGCAGCTCACCCTTGTCTTTTTTCCCCTTGGCTGGTGAAGCTCTGATAGTGGACAACACCCAGCCACGTCAGGATTTCCGACTGGAGATACTTCAACCTCTCAAATATCAGCTCTGGAAAAGGTTCTATTGAATTTTTAGCATTGCTATGGTTTTCAACTACCTTTGCTCCCAGGAAACCCCAAAAATTATGTTAGCATGACCGTTCGATATCTGTCCGTCCAAGTCTCGGGCAAACAAATTTGAACCAACTCCTATGGTACCACCGAGTGGAGTGCCAAAAGAGCGCCAGTCCACTTATTTCACCCTCAGCCATTCTCCCCTCTTTCCAGAATTCGCTTGCAGCCAAAAAAAAGTTCCCCTGAGACGAAGTGTGGGGGCTGACAAAAAGTAAACAAAACCGCGGCCAAGCTTATTGCTCCGGGCAACATCACACAACACTGACACAACACCTCTTTGTTTATATCGCCAAAAGGGGGGCTGCCGGCCAGTCAATACTTTTCCGGCTCACTAGCAAAAAAAAAATACGGCTTCTACATGCCCCCTTTCAATTCCAAACGGCAATTTCTGCGCTGGGTGTTGGATCTACGGTAGGGCAACACCTCGACGGTTGACAGGCCCCAATATCGTGTCTACTTGCTGGACTGGATGCGCGCTTGGCGTGTTGGTTGACTTATAGGTAAGTCATGGTCGACTTGAACACGAGTTGTGTATTTTTTACGAATTTGCTTTCCTTGCTCGCTCTGCTATATCGCCTTCTTTTTGTTCCGTTTCATGTGCAAATGTGCATTTTCGTCTCCGATATTAGTTATGGACATGTCTACATACCTATGGACCATATCTGGGATGGAGATCCGCTCTTCGGGCACCTCTAAGATCAGAACCTTTCTTCTATACCTTCAAGATCTCTCAATCGCCTTTAGTGCCTTGATATAGCTCTCAATTTGATCAACTCAGATTATCAGCACTATCCATGTGTCTAGGGGTTAATGTTGTAGGGCTTTTTTTTTCTCCCCATTTGCACTCCTTGAGTCTGTTTGCTCCTTATCACCAAAACTTGTGCTCTGTCCATCTCCATCGGACCTTCACAAACGAACTTGTGCTAACCATGAATACCAGTGGCTACCTATCAGGCCTCGAGTCGGACCAAATTCAAATTTACCGGCAGGTGTGTTGGTTTTTCGAATTCTGGGCCTTTCACTTGTGGTCATCGATCGACCTCGAGGAACATCGGATGACAGAAGTCTTCGGAAAAATACTATCCGATGTGAACCCTCCCGTTGCCTGCGGCTCCCGTTTTCAATCTTCTCCCGCATAAAGTCCTCGCTGTTTGGACTTCTACCTTCCACCCCACCGTCCTCACTTTCACACCCTCTCTCGTCTTTCCACCATCCACGATCCCGAGGAAGAACATCACCAAGGACAGCAGGCCATTCACTGGTTAACCAGGTTATACATATATATATATGTACACTCTCATACCGTCTTCCACAGCTCACTTTCCTCTCGGACAAAACGCGTTAACTTTCTCAAAACTGGAACTAGCTGACTGAACTTCGGCATTTTGTGGAATTTCTCAAGACATACGAATCAGTTAGTACGCTCCCAATCACCCTCGCGCCGCGATACTGGCTAACAATTTGCAGTAGAAGTAAAATGCCGGCAAACTTCAAGACCTACGAGGCCCAGGCGCGCCTTTTGGCCGCAGTGATCGCGGCTCATCCCGAGCTCAGGCTCAACTACAAGGGTAAGAACACATGATTTTTGTGTCCCATCCTCTCACTTTTGTCTCTCGACGTGCCTGTTCTGCTCCATGGCCCCCAATTATCTCACCTCCTTGGGCGCCTTCGACATGATCGTGTCACAACGTCATCACCAGTCTCAGCTCTTCCAGTGGTCGAGTCACAACTCAAGATGCTGATGAGATTCCAGCAATCGCACAGCACTATGGCAAGTCCGCAACCATGAGCGCCATTGAACATCGCTTCCGCCCTGTTCGTAAACAGGCGGAATGCTTGCGCCTTGCTGTCAGTAGGGGCGATGATCCGGAGGAGATTGACATCCTCGAAACCGGCGGTATGAAGCATCTTGGCAACATCAACACCTGTCACTTCGTCATCAGACTTCGTTATCTGGGCTTTCCAATTTCACTCTCATTTCATATCATTATCGTGGCCTTCCTGAACTTCGCTAACATTGTCTTCGCCCCAGAACTTGCCAGATACTTTGGCGAATCTACCGCCGACGGCCTCCAGTTCCAATTCCGTAGCATCAAAGCTGGCGCTGAAGCCATCAAGAACGCTGTCGACAACGGCGAAGATCCCATTGAAGCGTTTAACAACGTCGGCTCCGGCTCAGGAACCAACAAAACGCCTTCAGGCCGCAAGCGTGGCCGCCCAGCCGGTACTCCAGCCTCTGGCAGAAGCCGCGCTGGAGCTGGTACTCCTGCTACCGGCAAAAGCACGAGCACCACCGCCAAACCGCGGAGGTCAACAGCCAAGAAGGCGAATTACGTAGAGCCGCAAACGACTACGGATAAGGACGAGTCGGCTGCGTCTGTCGACTACGACGCCTTGGATGACTCTCCTACCGGCCACTTGGCGAAGAAGACGCGCACGACGCCCATCAAGACTGCTTTGCCGCCTAGACGCATGTCTGGTGCTGCCGCGCCGCCCTCCCAGCCAGTCTTCAAGACCGAGGCCCTTGATGAGATCTTTGAGGTCAGCGATAGGCTGCCTTCTCCCTCTCCGATGCCGCCGCTGCCTTCTACTGCTACAGGTGGTAATAACGATTTCTTCACCAACGGTATGGCGCAAAACGAGCGCGCCGCATCAGAGTATCACACGCCTGCACCGGAATTTCCCCCCAATGCCTCTGCACAAACAAGCCAGAGCCAGTCCCAATCCCAGGGCTTCAACATTAAGCAGGAGGCCCTCTCCTACAACAACGCCGGCATGTCCTTCGACGGTGGAGTGACCACCAGCTTTGCTTCCGCTACCACCAGCATCTTTGGTGGCAACCATGGATATACCGCCACCACCACCGGCGGATACCTTCAGCAACAGCAGCACAACACGCAAAACAGCAACAACAATAACAACAACAACAACTCTGCTGGGTACATCAACATTGTTAGTGACGACGAAGATGATTACACGCAGTCTCAGAGCCTCTTTGGCGCTGCCGTCCGTACCCTGGGAGGAGGAGGAGGGGGAGGAGGAGGAGGACACGGAAGCTCTGGAAATTTCAGCCAGGATTTTACTACGACTCCGGGCATGGGCATGGGCTTGCCGAGCAACATGACCGGGGACGGTAGTGGTGGTGGTAATGGTGACATGGGTTCCTTTTACGTGGATGAGGACCAATATGAGATCTAGTGGGAGTTGGCTTTTTTTCTTCTCTCTCTCTTCCCTGGCGCTGCTTTGCAAAAGGCGGGGCACCTCACCCTCACCCCGACCACCCATTCACAGTCGCAAACTTGAGGTGGGCAGACATTGACGGCGCAGCTACCTCTAAGATCACTGCTTCAGGCCCGTAGGTACTGAGAGAAGGAAAGAAACAGCGCATCGGTGTCTCTAGAGGTATAGGATCCTCTCACAATCTGCATTTGCCCCTTCCTTTCTTGCTTTTCTCTTTTTATATCTCTTCTTTCTCTCTTTTTTTCCTTTTCCTTTCGACATTCAGGTTCACAATGGGATACAAAACTTGCTTCTATGTTCTTTACAAAGCAACAACACAAGAAAAAAAAAACGCTCATGGCATGGAGCGGTGCGGGATAGTTCGTCTTGCTTCATGAGGAACTATGTCTACCTCTACACGGTCCTGGTACCAGGTCAGCGGCAGGGTGAATTTCACTACAATAACGACAACAAGGATACCATCTACGGGGTCGGGTTCGACAAACATACACTACCTAGGTCTAGGTGGTTGAAACTTTGCGTACCTACGGTTGCTCGCGGGCATCCTCAGGGAAAATCAAAGCAACTTTCCGGCAAAGGATACCTATGTTCCTCCAGCAGTAGATGATGAGCACGCAAGATATACCGTTCTACGCAATCATCGCGGGCCAAGTCAACCTGCATTTGTATACAGGGGTTGTAGTTGAGGACTGGAATGCAACTTAGTCATCCAACATGGGGGCGGTGGTGAATGGTGAACGGCGAATGGCGAATGGCGAATGGTGCATGGTGGGAGGGAGATCTTTGCGGTTCCTCAAGAGATTCAGTGTTTGTAGAGAGTCATGTACGTACCCAGGTAAATCTGCACTTCGAATGGTTCGGCTTTTAGACACATTTACTCCCGATTTGATGTGCACATTTGTCGCCGATGTGTAAGAGCAGTCTCGGCTTATGGTGTTTTTCTCGTCAACGAACCTCATACCTACACCGGTGAATGACACTTGGGAAAAGGGCATGAAGACCAGATAAGGATTACAACATGACCACCAAGCCGCTGGTATTTCTTCTACGCTCATCATACATCTACTCACTACAAGTTACACCTAAAAGTCTATCATGAAATGTCAAAGGCAACGCAACCCCACTCGGCTTTACTTCAACGTACAGCACAACAACCCATCACTTTCTAATATTTGGTCCCATCCAACCCGCCTTAGATGCATCTCAACCCGTGTCATTGTGAAACTCCTTTCAATGCTGTGCAACTTCTCCCACTCAACCGCAACTCTTCTTCGCTGGCGCTCATATCTACTGAGACAACAACTTCCAAAGGCCGTCCTTCTCAAGATAATCATGATGAATCACATTAACCAGCCAAAGATCCTCCTTCAAGTCCTCCAACAACTTCTGGGTGTCGGATCCCTTTCCGTAGATCTTGGCCCACTCGCTCCAAATGCCAAACGCCTCCTCACTCCACGCGCGGAAGCTGACCTCCTCGATGATGGTCGGTGTCAGGATTTCCTTGCCGGGGAACACGCCCCAGGTTACCGCGTTGGTGCTAGGCTCATGCGGCCTGTGGTCGGCCTCAGCAGTTCCCTCCGCTTCGGCGGCCATTCTCGCGCGAAAGTTAATTGTGTCGGTGCTGACAAAGTCCCCGGCGGCATTGGTGGCGAAAAAGCACACGGCGTCCTTCATGTCTGGCTGCCTCAGTTTCGCTTCGAGTACCCGCCAGTCGGCCGAGGGGATGAAGAACTCGACAAAGGCCTTTTGAAAGACGAAGCCGTTCTCGGGGCCCCAGCCAAAGGTGCCGTCGTCCGATCGCAGGCCGTTCACGGCGGGCTGGGAGGCAAGCGACCACCAGCCCCTGGAATTGAGCTCGATCAGATTGTCCCGGATGGCTTCCGTCTCGTCGTTGAAACCCTCTTCACTCCAGGGGATGGCGGAAAGCTCGCCCTTCAAATGACGGATAAAGATATTGTTGATATCCTCCGTGGTCTTTGGGGAGCCCCACAGCTGGAGCGCCTGGGGGACGGTGACGTGCAGGCTGACGCCGTAGCCGTCAATCTGACCGTAGGCCGGAGACCTGGCGTCACCCCATCTACCGTTGGGGAAATCGTCCCAAGTCGCTTCACGACCCAAGACACCCTCGCCTTCAGAGATCGCCAGTGTGTTAGCTCTGGTGTTGACGGGCTCTGCCGGAAGACCGGCCTCCAAAGGCGAAACCTCGTAGTCTGGATGCGAGGGTCTCTGGTTCGCGACAATCACCCGATCCCGCGGGTCGGAGCCAATTGAGCCCTTTCTAGTCGACAGGTCCTGAATCGATCGAGTTGGGACCGAAGATCCGTTAATCCTGAGTTGAGGGAAGTCTGGCAGGATGGCAGACTCGTCCTCATCGGGCGTTCCAGGGGGTATGAGATTCGTGCGTTCGGCGATGAATGCAACGGCCTTCTCCAGGTTCAGAGTATAGAAGTGGAAGCCTCGCGGGCCAGGTGTCCTGCTCTTGATCTCCTTGATGCGCTCAATCATCTCACTGACAATTGCAACACCCTCCATCTTGACCTTCTCATCGTCTCCCTTTACAGCGTCAAGGCGGGCCATGAGAGCGGGCGGGATCTTGGCGTGACTGAGTTTCGTCGTTCTCTTGATCATCTGGTAGCTCTGGATGGGCATAAGGCCGGGGATGATGATGACGTCCTTGAAGGCACCGCTAGGGTGGTCTCGCAGAGTATTCTCGAAATGCTCGTAAGCGTCGATGTCGAAGAAGAGTTGTGTCATGATGAAATCGGCACCGGCCTGGATTTTTTCGACGAGATAAGGGAGATCATGCTCCAAGCTCTGCTCGCGAGGATGGGCCTCCTCTGCATGGCCCTCGGGATAGGCGGCAACACCAATGCAGAAGTAGTCGCCGTGAGTTTTCTTGATATAGCGGACGAGGTCGGCGGCCCAAGAGAATTCCTCGTCATCGGTCGGCTCGGGGTCGTTCTCATCGTGGTATTCGGCAGCCCTCGGGGGATCGCCTCTGAGGGCAAGAATGTTGCGAATTCCGAGGACCTTTGCATCCTCGAGGGTCTTGTCTAGCAGGCGACGGCTCATGTTTGTGCAGGTAAGATGAAGACATGTTGTAAGGCCAAGCTCGCGCTGGCAGATTTCGGCAAGCTCGAGAGACTTTTGGGCGGTTGAACCTCCGGCGCCCCAAGTGACGTTGACGAAAAGCGGCCTAAGTCCTCTTGCCATACGTTCGAGACGGTCGCGTAGGTTCGCGAAGCCCATAGCGGTCTTTGGAGGGAAAAACTCGAGCGAGAAATAGTTGCTGTCGGGCGGCAAGGCCGCGACCTTATCGGTGATCTTCTCCATTGCGTACGGTATTGTGTGTGATTGGATTCGGTATGGTGATATGCTGCGTATGTATGTCGTTAAAATGACCGTGGAGTGTTGAACCTCAACGGTAATGTGTTGTTGCGGGTTTGGTGGGATGGAATTGGTTGTGGTGTTGAAGAGTGGTGTCTGTCTTTGTAGAAACGGCAATTCCCCCTTGCCGCAGGAGTTGCAGGTACAGACCGTCTCGGGTCTCCAGCGATTGTTGGGATGGCGGGGTCTTTCTTTCTCCGCAGTCGGAGGTACCTACAGCTAGGTAAGTACTGACTGATAAGTTGATAATCTAGTGTATCTCGCCTTTTAGTTGCAAAGGCAGTGCGTCTGTATAAGCATAAATATTGCAATGGATGAAAGCACAGAAGGAGGTTAGAGAGATCTACACAGATGAGAAATAAGTTGCCATGATGCCCCGGTCAGGTGGTCACCACGAAAGGAAAAAAAAAAGAAAAAAAAAGAGACGAATAATTCTTTGCCATCCCTTCTCCAAATGGTACGTACCTTGTCTGGCCGGTGGGGGAAAGACTCGACTTTACCCCACTCCAGGGAAGCTTGCAGCGTGGGGTAGCTCGTCGAATCACCCTTGGCTTCTTTAGCTCCCTGACGTAAGGCGGCCCTTCTGAGCGGCCAATGGTCGCGGTGACAGTACGTTCCGTCTCGCAGGTGTGGGGAACGGCAGTTCTGTTTGCGCCGAGATGCTGCTGGGGCAACCCGACCCGGTCATTGATTACATCGGGATATCAAAGCATAATACCTAGTACACTGGTCTAACTGGCTAGTAGTATAGCGACGACACATTGTCGCCTCCAACCACATAGAGGTAGTCACTGTTCCTTCCGTAGTGACCGACGGGAGTTGATACTGAAAAGAACCAAATGTTTGACATCAACAAAATGACAAAATTCACTGAACGCATCTGCCTACCTGTGTCGACTACTCGCTACACGGGAGGATACACGGATTCAGTGGCCTGCCATCCTCCTCCTGCCTTGTGATCAAGGCCTCTTCATGTCAGTTTCATCCGAGTCAGTTCTATGCTACGGCCCAAGTCAGTAGCAGGCCGGTCATATTCTGTTTGGGCACTTTAAAAACGTGACCGTGTTTCTAGAGACTTAAGGGATCTAGAAAAGCAGCCGAGTTAGCCTCAAGCAACTTATACACGCAGGGTTGGGATGAAATTCTATGTATCGCGCAATTCAGATTTTGAATGCCATAATGACTCCTCAGATTCAACCCATGATGATGAACCCGCGCACATGTCGCAAAAGCAACACGGACGGGTTCCGTCATTGCTGAATCGGTTTACCGGATGATGTTCGTATCATCATGAACGCGCATTGGGCCGCAGAAAACGAGAGGCACACTGGAACTTACAATTTCGTAAACAGGAGGATTCATAACATGCGCTAGGCATTCATTCCCTCAGTTTCACCCTGGCAGCATAGGATACGCAGTACTGTTACAACTACCAGCAGCGAGCCAGGCACAACATTGTAGTGATGAAAGGATATGGAATGTCCGGATCTTGTTTCAGGTCATCATCGCATCATGGACGCCGCGCAAATGGGGCTCTCGTGATGATGGTTTTAAACAAGGGCAATTTAGAGGAGTTCTTCTTGACTTTCACAATCCGTATCGTCGGTTGCGCGGAAGCGATCAGGTGCAGCCCAACGGTGTTTTATGGAAATGTGGTCGTGGTTGTGAAGAAGAAGAAGAAGAAAAGGAAAGGGGAACGAAATTTGTCGCGCCATTTTGAGTTGAAATCTTGCCTGTTCCACGGGCGGGTCTGCACTTACTGCCGCTGCTTACCGCCCATAACGTTGTTGCTGCCCTGCAGCGTGCACCATTGCCAGAAAGTGACCAGTCATGTTCCATGGAATCCCGACAGCATCTGGCAGGGTGGGGCTTTCCGAGCTTCCATCCAGCACTGCAGCCATGTTCTCGGGGAACGGGCAGGCAGGCAGGCAGGGAGAGAGAAAGGCCCGTGACAGTGGATGGTGGACCCGCCACTGCGCGGGCCATTTCGCCCTCGGTCGCTGGGGCTGCCACTGGCCACTTTTTTGCAAGCAGTCGTCCCGTCGGTCGCAGGCGGCGGGCGCCCACTGTTCGCCTCGGGGCCATTGCGGTCCATACCTGTAGGTCAAGATTTGTTCTTCCTTTTTCACGATTTCCGAATTCCATCCACTCCATCGATCTGATCCAACGCCCCAAGCAAAACCAAAACTCGTCATTCCACCTCACCCACCAGCCAATCCAACTATTCAACCACCATCTATTATCCCAAAACCCATATTCCCGTCCGCGTCGGATCGACCTGCTCGCCTCTGCAATCCAGGAAACGCCTGCACCTGCACTCGCCTGTCCCCGTCCTCGATACCCTGTTAGACCTCATCACCACCACCACCACCACCACCACCAGATACTACTGAGACAGTGACGAGTCGGATTGACTACCTTAGTAATCGTCGTCACTGCAAAATATTGCCCGCCGCCCTCACGGTCGAAAGGTCTCACTCCATCACGAATCCCCGTCTATCACCGCTACGGCCCCCAGATCCTTAGGTACCTGACATCCTTTGCACTACCGTTCCTACTATTACCACCAACTCCGTCATCCTTTTTCGTCGCCGCTGCCGCCCCTGTGCCTGCTCCCGCGACAACTCGAACGACCAATACACGCCGGCTTTCCGCATAATTACAGGCTAGCTTTTCTTGCAGTACTGCTTCTGAAGAATTGCTTGCGCCGCCGCTCACTGTGTTGCATTAGCCTTCCGGTGACAAGTTTCTTCCACTTTCTTTTTCTTTCTTTTCTCTCGTTCGTCGAGTTTTTGGTTTCCGACTTCTCCATGGATACCAACCTATGGAGTCGCCGTACCAAGTGAGTGTCAAGTCTTTGCCCTTTACCCCAGCACTTCCCCTCTACCTACTCCCCTTCCCCACCGCGAGGTCGATCACACATGGCTATGAACAGCAATCAAGCCAACACATTCCGAACCGCTGACTGACATGCCATTGTTTGCTCCATAGCTCGAGCAAGCTCTCCTTGACAACACCTGGATCCGGCGGCCAGGTCGATAATTCGTCTTCACGCACATTTTCCAAGCGATTCGGCGGTGATAGCTCGTCGCACGGAAAGACCAACCCCTTCAACTCTATAACTACCCCAGGCGGGCTGGTGTCGCCCACGGCCGGCGCTTCGAGCGCTTTTGGCCTTGGGTCTGGCGCGTTCGCCTCGTTCGGTTCGGCCAAGACTCCCAAGACTACCGGCAACCCGTTCGAGACCACCCTCATCGGTCATTCCGCGAAGACACCCTCTGCTGAGAAATCTAGCAAGGAGGGCGGCCTGGGCGGTAAGATCGTTGGGAAGACTGCCTCCAACGCCTCTCTTGCCGATGCCAACAAGAGGGCCCAGGGCGCAGTGTCCAACTCCCCGAGTTCGGGCCTAAATCACCAGCTGCGTAACAGCTGGGTCTTCTGGTATCGGCCCCCCATCTCGAAGGCTAACGGCTTCATCGAGTACGAGAAGACTCTGCACCCTATCGCCACCTGCGAGACGGCTGAGCAGTTCTTCGCTGTCTACCAGCACCTCAAGCGCCCCTCGGGTCTGCCGCTGGTGTCCGACTATCACCTGTTCAAGAAAGGAATTCGGCCAATATGGGAGGACGAAGAGAACAAGAACGGAGGAAAGTGGATTGTGCGCCTGCGGAAGGGTGTTGCCGATCGCTACTGGGAGGACATTCTGCTGGCTCTGATCGGTGATCAGTTTGGCGACGCCAACGACGATGTTTGCGGCATTGTTCTCAGTGTTCGGAATGGCGAGGATATTCTCAGCATCTGGGCTCGGGCTAATGGCCAGCGGGTCCTGAAGATTCGGTATGTTTTCACTCACTTGCCCGGATAGCCACTTTGGAGATCTCGAGCTGACTTTGGCTAAACAGTGAAACCATGCGCCGGACCCTCTCATTCCCCTCCGAGACCAAGGTTGAATGGAAGAGTCACGACTCAAGCATTCAGCAGCGCACTGCCATTGAGGAGTCGCGTCGCGAGAAGGCGAACAACCGCGACCATAACCAGGGCGATAAGCGGACCACCAACAGACAGCAGCAGCAGACGGATAGCCGCCCGTAGCATCTGAACACCTAGGCGAGGTTCCACGTGACGCATATTCCGTCAGTCTTCCACCGTGCGGTGATTCGCACCATCTACAATGCTGAAGGCAACAACGTTACAGGACGTGTTAAGCGCGCTTCGGACATACAGCGTTTTGAAATCAAGCGCTACCTCCGTACCCCTCGTACTTCTTTAAAGTAAGACATATGTACAGTATCCAAAAGAAAAAGCAGCAGCAAGCATGCGTTACTGAGTTTTTGGGCAACCCTTTTTGGTAGAAGCGGAAAAGAGGTGGTCTTGGGATTGGGAACGGATGTTTTCCTCTTCCTCTTCCTGCGCCTTCTTTCACTTGCACTTCATTTACCCGCACGGCGTATCATTTTGATGGGATCATGGCGGGTTTGGAACGGGGTTAAAGGCCGGATGGATGAACGGACGGGACGGCTGGATCAAATGGGATGGAATCTTGACGTGGGTTAGGCGGAGCGAAATATAGAACCTGTGCATGCATGCATGCATGCTTGCTGGCATGGTCCATTGTTCTTTGAGCGTGCGAAACTGTAAGGGGGTGAAGCATGGAGTATGTCAAATATCTCGTTGAACGCTTGATTCCAAGTATTGGACGTCAGAAAATCTCTATCATAGTGTCTTGACTTTGCGTATGGACATGCCTTTTCATTCGTACGGGCCTCCATTAGCACACTATCCATTCAAGACCCCCCTGCTCAATCATCAAGTGTCCTCCTTTCGACCTCTTCCTACCCACTCGCACTCGCATGATTCAATCCTCACGCCTTCCCCTTCCCCTTGCCCGGCAGAGGTTCCCTCCTCCTCTCCCAAATCTGCAAATAACTCTCGCTCAAGTACAACAACTCGCTCCGCACCTTGTCCACAAACAAATCCTGCGCCACCACCCACTCATCCGTCGCCTTATCCCGCAATTGCACTTTCCACGTCTTTCGCTCCTCCCCGACACTATCCGCCACGTCCTCCTTGTTCCTAACCGCCTCGTGCACCACGTTGGCCACCAAATCATACCAGATCGGCTCCCCGTGTTGATGCGAATTCGGATCCGGCTCCACGTAAGGGCTGACATCCAGGTTGCGCGCGTCAAAAGTTACAATCGTAGGGTTCCTTTCTGAGACAAACTTGTTCTTGCTGAACCTTTTGATGTGGAAGACCAGAAAGGGGGGCAGGGGGTGTTGAAGTCGGTACCGCTTGCGCTGCGCGTTAAGTTCTTGGGCGGTTACGCCGTTGTACTTTGCTAGGATCGTGGTTAGGGGCACTTGGGGGATGATGTTGCGTTCTTGTTCGTCTTGGAACAGGGGGGCCGGCGGTAAGTCGAGGGTGAGAAGCAAGAAGCGGGAGACGGACGACTGTACGTCCGCGGCTTCTTCGAAGCGTAGTCGGTCGTGCACTTGGTCGGCGCGCGCGGTGATGGCTTGCGATTCGACCTTGAGTTTTCCTTGGAAGATGTGCTGGATGACTGAGGAGTGGGGTTTGGTTTTGGAGCCGCCGAGCCCCAGGTGGAGGTGGTTGAGGAACCAGGAGAGGAACTCGACCGGGTCGGATTGTTGCGTTAGAGTGAATTTCTTGTTGGAGCGGAGGGAGATTTCCTGCAGCAGTTCGTGGGGCGAGACGTGTGATTTGAAGGCGCGCGGGTTCCAGATTTTGCGGAAGAGGATGGAGGTACGCTTGACTAGTTCGGGCGCGTTGGAGAAGTCTTCGAGGAGAAAAAAGTTGCGGAGGGGGGAGACGTGTGATAATGCCTGTACGATCACGTTCAGGTAGTCGTTTTCTTTAATGTTGTTCATGCCCACGAACCCCGGCACGTATTCTTTGCCTAGAAGCGTGCGCGACACGTGCGGCTTGCGGTCCAGGTCGAGAACCTCCTGGCGCGTGTAGCGCGGGTCCGAGACGTATTTGATGTCGTCGAGAGACTTGGACTTGACTTCGTAGCCCTCCGGCAGCACGTAGACCTTTTGGGTGCTCATGTTAATGTACACGTGGTGGCCTTCGTCGAGCGCGTGGAAGTAGGCGTGCGACTTGGGACCCCGACCCTGGAAGTACTTGCCGCATACGAGGCAGGCGTAAACGTTGATGTTTGAGAGACTGATGGAACATAGCTTCTCGAAGTCGAAGTCGAGAACGTTGCGGTCGATTGTGTCGAGGTAGAGATCATCGTAGCCTTCTGTTGGGGCGGCTTGTCGGATTGGCGCCTTCACCTCAACCTCCTCGCCAGCCTCCAGGTCGTCATCCTCCTCGTCTTTTACTTCGTTGCTGTTGTTTCCGCCATTGGTCTGTTCCACCTTCTCCTCGTTTGATCCTTCCCGTGTTTCGGCAGCATTCGCGATTGCGCTTGCTGGAGTGAGACTTTTGTCGTAATCATCGATCCTTGACTTCTTTGAAGACGGCGAGAGGCCCTCCTCGGCGTCGAAGGCCTCTTCCGCTGGGCGTTTGAGGTTCGACATTGTGAACGGTTGATGATCGTTAAGTTGAGGGTGACTACCACTCGTAGCTGAACGTATTTCGTCTCGTCGTGCTGCCGTCAGATGCGGGATGAGTGGGCCTAATAGTACTGCTGGATGTTTCAAGTGTGGTGTACAGCCAGAATTTTGGGAAAGTTTCGAGGTCAAGTTGATCAATGGCACGACACCGTCAACACGAAGCGAAGCGCATCCCGGCTGGGCTGCTACGCAGTGCACTAGCGGATGGATGTGAATGACGCTGGAACCGCCCCACCAGAGCTCCAGTTGCCTGCCGGATGGGACCTGTGCTCCGGCAACCAACCGGCAGCTGCAGACCACCTCCGCCGTCACAACCGCACTTTCCCCGGCTTCCATCTCCCGTCCGTGTCACTTTTCCAAGCACATATTCCGGCCATACACTGCACTGTTTTCATGACTTCAACATTCTTCAAAATGCCTACACAGGCTCTCATACGGAATCAGAAACGGATTGTATAGTAGCCTTCGGTGTGTGCCAGAAGGGTCGACGTCTATCCACGGTTCCTCGCGGAAAGCTGTGTCTACCCCAGGTACCCATGTCCGCTCTTGAGCCTTCCCTTTCTATTCCAGCCGAGCCAGCCAAATTTACATCACAAGGCAGTCCTAAGCCGTTATGCGCTCGTCCACAGCCGCGCGAGCATCTCTGGTGATGCCCTCACTAGGGAAGGTTGCTGCCGACGCAGGCTCCGCAACATCATCCTGGTTCATTCCTGGCTCCATCTGTCCTTCCATTTCCTCCTCATCACGTTCGGCCTCTTCTGCCTCCTGGGCCGTGGCCTCACCGGACTGTAATCCAGCCTCACTAGGACCAGATTCTGCGCCCATGCCGATGATGTCAATGCACCTCCATGCCTCGATCGACCAAAAGGATTCCTTCTCCCCGTTCTCTTCATTTTTAGTGTCTCCCTCCTTCTCTTTGGCAGGCTTCTTCTCAAGTATGGCCTTATCTTCGTGTATACCTCCATCAACGCCCTTCTTCTCCTTCTTGAGGTCAATGTTCTCCTCTGTTCCGCCTTCCACAAGGTCACCATACCAGGTTCTCGCAACGCTGACCCCATTCGCTCTCAGGAACTGCAGGATAGCGCGGATGTTTAACCGGAGAATGCGCTCCGGCTGCTCTCCTTTAAAGATTTTCTTTACTGCCCAAGGGAACAGCACACCAAAGTCGCTCTGATTGAGATGGGCACTGTTTTGAACATAGAAAACGCCAGGCTCGCTCAGCTTTGTCACTGATCCCTTCGTGGATTCCTTTCCACTTGATTTCTCGAACGCCGCCTGCGAAACGACCTTGGCCGAAGGGTTCGGCGACACAATTCGTGCTGTGCTGTGCATGTTCTCCTTCCACTTGTAGAACGCCTCCGACTCAATGGCCAGGATGCCGTTGCCACCGACAGGAGAGGCAGCGGTAGGGGAATAAGCGGGAAGCGGCAAGTTGAAGAGAGGGGCAGAGGCGGCCGAGAGGATAGGGAAACACCACATGTCGAGAAGGAATGTTGGTGTGTTTTCGGTGATCTGACGACGGATAGCCGAGTTTTCCACTGGCCTGAACAGAGGGTTATCCCACTTGGCGATGTCTGGATGGTCTGCATAGTATGTGCTCTTGAGCACCTGAACTATGGTTGCAGAGCCGAAAGAGTGTCCGCCAAAGATCATCTTGCCAGGCTCATGCACATCAAGTTGTCCAGTAAACTGATACAGAGCCGACAACGGGGTGGGACTCGGGGTGCTGAGGTTGGCCTTGATGAGGTCGTTGTCGCCAAGGTCAATATGGTGGATCGCCTCCATGAGAAGTCCTATCTCCCATGCGCGAATCCGGATTTGTGCCTCACGCTTGGCCCAAACTTCCGGGGTATGGCTGTGTTCGATGCGAAGACAGCGTACGATATGCGACAACTTGGGATCACTGGGATCGCGGATTATGGATATGGCTGCGCTGGCATCCCGATGTTCGGGGCAGAACACCACCATGCCATGAGACGCTAGGGATCCGGCAATATGGCTATAGGCATTCCGACTACCGCCGAGTCCGTGAGAGAAGAGAACCGTGGGCCATCGAGATTGCGGATTACCAGCTGACTGAGGAGACAACAGCGTAGCATTTGCGTGAACCGGGATTTTGATGTAATGAAGATGCCTTGGCAAGAATCTGGATACGAAGTCAGCTAAATCTGACTATTAGTGACACGAGTGATGGGGTACTGACGATAGAACGGATGCAACTCGGGAACTCAGGCCAAGAAACTGGCTATAAGCCCAAACAGCGAGACGCTGAGGAGGCGGGAGCCAGGTTATGCTTTCATTGTTTGTGTCAGGAGTAGCGGGATAGTATATCCTGAACTGAATGGTGTGGATGTGATCAGCTTCGTTTGGGATTGCGCTCACCGAGTCAAGCCTCGATATTGGGATTTCGACGTCTACAGTGCCCACTTTGTAGGGTCCCGTATACTCTGGAAAGGCCGGGACAATGCTCGGCAGGAAAGAGAAGACCATCTTTGCTGCAGAGTGACTATCGGGTCCGTCGTAACAAAGTGATAAAGGGACGTTGTAGCAAATGGATTGAGTGGTTCCGATATCGTACAGACAAAGCCGACTGACTGTGGTCCAGGGGTAAGAATTTAGGAAATATTGATGTTGAGATGCTCAGGATAGGACAGGAGGATATGGAGCATAAACCTCCAGGGATATCGGTGAAAAGAGATTCCCGATGTCTCAGATTAGAAAACGAGCCTCGGCCTAATTTATGGCAAGAACAACAATTTTTATCGATGGAGCCTCGGTCGTTGTTCCCATTCTGGATGCCCAGGTTCATCTGTCATCCAAACATTTTGGGAAAGCGGGTACGTACACTTCATCGTCAACTCTTGGCATCCGCCGCGTCAACCAAGGCGATACTTTCACCTGACTATCGATTCTCAAACGGTTTTGTTAACGTCGTGCGCCGTCCTTCGTTAGTACTCTCATGTACTTTCCATTGAAGGCGCAGTGATCTGATTTGAATGGGCAGGGAAGGAATCTGCTCAGGAACAGGCAGGGCGGGAGAGTGGCTGTGTCCATTTTTGGTTGGAAGGAACACAACCGATTCGATGAAAGATTGCTGAAAAGAAGTGGGAGTTTTGAGGGTTAGGGTACAATAAGTAATACATAGACATATACGTCTGGCGTCTCCTGCCCCATCAGCCAAGACCACAAACAAACCATAACTTCGTCTCAACGTCTCATCTCATCACAAGCACTTCAGTTGCTTTTACCATACGAATGAGCCGCCTGTGCCACAAGATGTGGCTCCGGCAAGCGCCCAACTCATTAGTTCGGGCATATTCCCAAAGTCGCCAATGTGTTGGACATCCAACAGCTGCAGTACAGGCGTCAAATTATCAGCAAAGCAACCAAGACGACCGTGAAGGATGGAACACTCACCGACATATCCCAGTCACCCATCATCCCCAGCGGCGTTTCTGTTTCATATGTGGCTGCTACCTCGCCTGTTTCAATTTGTTGTTGTTTTTGTCGTTGTTGTTGTTGTGATTCCATCCCCCCTCCTGCCTCTCCCTGTCCCCATCCAAACCCTTGCTTTTGCCCAGAATCGGTCTCTCCACCGCTCGCCATCCTTATCCTCGTCTCCCTCTCCAACATCTCCTCCAGAAGCGGCACACACTTATCCACAACCTCATCTGCCGCCTTGACCAGTACCTGCGCAAGTGCTTCGTCCCCTTCCAGGCCTTTCATCATACCTTCAATCTGCGCCGACACCATACTAGCAAACAGGAGTCCCTTCATGTTGGTCTCGCCCACCTTGATGCTGCGCATGGTCCAGTCCTTGGCCTCGGTCACCATAGCCAGCAGGTCTGGTCGCAGCAGTGATCGATTTACTGGAGCGAGACTTGTTTCGGCTTCTTCTCTGAGCTGAGCGCGCAGCTCGCCGAGGAGGAGCATGCTTACCTGAATCCCTGCGTTCCGGCAGAAGCCGGCCCCGTGAGAAGCCAGGCGGCAAATGTCTTGGTTGGCAGCTCCCTGGGGGTTGGTATCTTGCTTGGTGGCATCCGATGAGGAAGGGGAGGTTGGCCAAGGGTTGATGGCACGCCAGATCTTGAAACAGGACTCCACGACGACCTTTCGCGAGAAGGCGTAGGCAGCTTCGTGGAGGGCGGCGCTGTAGAAGGGAATGTGAAGGGCGGAGAGTTCACGGTTGATGACGAGATCGATGAATTTAGACGGAAAGAGCAGAGCGGATGACGATGACCCCGGCCAGCAAACCTCGTTCAAGTTGCGAGAAAGCACTTGAAAGGTTCGAGTAAGAGTTCGATACGCTGCTCTCAGATCCGCATCGAGTCTCAATGATTCATGATATGCAGATGCCATATCACCCTGGCGACAAGTCGATCCGAGGTCGTTCAGAAATTTGGCGATCGCAAGCCTGATGGGAAGAATCTTTCGCATGGCAATTGCAACGGACGTTTGCGTAAACTCAGTTTCCGGTTGCGCCACTGCGGGTGAATGATCGCTTCCATCGTCTGCACGAGTTTCCACAAGCTGCTCATCGTGGAAGTTACCCGGCGGCTCTGTGTCATAGTCATCGAGCGATATCTGCGGCGGTGCTCCGGCATTCATACTACACGAGACTGTCAGCTCGAGCACGGTATTCCACAGCCGCCGGTGCATTTCGGCGGCGAAGACTGTCCTCTTTAGGAGGTGCGCCGGGTCTCTGTGCAATCCCATGTACACCGCCGTCCTCAGTAAGGAACCCGCCGAGATCCAGGTCAAATTTCCACCTAAACCGGCCGTTTCACGTGCTAGCAATAGCAGGATATCAGTTTGTAGGCACTTGATGTTCAATCGGGACTTGAACTCTGGTTCCGAGGTGAACGTGAGCGCTTCATACACCCAGCGGATGGCAGAGGGGCGGAGAGAAAAGTCTTGGTCGTAAACGGTGGCGCCAATGGCAAGCACGAGCTTGACTTGGACCAGGAAGGCCATGTCGACATGCTGCAGCTGTTGATTCGGATGCGATTGTGCCGACACTGCTTGCCAGAGCGCCTCATAGTCTCTTTTGAAGGTGGGGATGTGCAGGACCCTGTACAAGGACTCAAAAGTCCTGAGATAACAGTCGACGAGTTGGTCGGCAATTTCCCTTGGGGGTAGGTGACGAGTCGGCATGGTCGGCCACGGCGGAGTCCTTTGAGCCTTGATGGTTCTAGCCAAGGCTTTGCACTTTTCCACGCCGGCCATGGACTTATTTGCGGTGCCGTTGCGGACCAGGGGCTCGAACTCTTTGAAAATGTCCAACAGCTGTGTTGGTGCATATGGTTAACAGGGGCTTACAGTGCTAGGAGGGACAAACGGATGTCTATTGAGGTTTGCACGCACCAAGATGACTCCATTGAACCAATGACTTTGGCCGAACAGACGGCTTTTGTGGAAGACATTGACAGTTCGGGAGGTGCTGGCCGTTTGAGTAACGAAGGTTCCTGCGAGAGAGGACTCGTGTGTAGCTGTTGGATTGGAAGAAGATTCTAGGTTTGAGGACCGTGAAAGTGCTTCTTTGGACAACTGTTCCTCAAGCTCCCGAATTCTCCTTCTCAGGACATCGGGATCCGAGCTAGAGACTGAGGTCGTGAAATGATTTGTTGCGACAGGCGAGTGAGCTGAGCTAGGGTAGCTAACGCAGGATGAAGCTTTTGAGGAGTGGCCCGAGACAACAGTAAAAGTTTCGCTTGTTGACGGGGTAGAAAACGGCAGTGCTGTGATGAGAGGATCTGGAACTGGGGCCGACCGGACAACCGGACCCGTTCGGACAAGGCTCGGGGCTTGGTCTTTGGGGGTGTCACAAGCAAGCGGACGTGGTCTATGCGGCGGTAAGGGTTGAGGAGGCTGGCGGACCTGATACACACAGCCGTGGATGTTCTTGGAGCGAATACAGTTGCTGCAGGGTGTCTCCCGATTGCACCGGATTTTACGCCTCCGGCAAAGAGCACACGACCTGGATCAATTAGCCTCGTCGCGGGCCCCATGTCCGTTGACATCGAATGGGGATGCCACCGAGCACTTACACTTGTGGCCGTAGCCTCGGAGTCCGACGTTCGGGCTCCGCCATAGTCAACAAGGGGTGTCCTCCGAAAGCCGTGCAAGTCGTTTCCGTGTAGTCAGGCCCACTCCGAAAAGCGCCAAGCCGAAGGAGCGATCTCGGTGTAGCGAGCTCGATCTGCTGGGGGTTTTCGGGCGAGACCCCAATCCTCGGGAGTTAATCTGGGGAGGAAAAAAAAAAAAGAATCTCGGGAGAAGACAAGAATTGCAAGTGTACTGAAGAAAAAGTATAGTACTGCCAGCGAGCTGTCCGAAGTCGCAGTCTCTGAATTTCACTCTTTGTCTCTGTCGCCCGCCATACTCTGGGCTTACATCAATGACCGGGGTCTGATTGGCTCGCTTCTCCGAGTCCGAGGCAAGCTCCGAATATCTGACATGTTCGCCGTCCTTCAGACCGACGGAACGGGGTCGGGCATGTTGGTGATGGTATGGTATTCTTTCGAACTACCTTTTGCGTAGTAGCCATCGGAGTTGCCATACAAGTTGCGGTGGATGGATTTTGAGCTGGAAGTGTGTATATATATATATATATATATATTGTGTGAAACCCCAAGTCATACGATTGTCAAAACAAAAACAAAAGGATTCATGAGAAGTCGTGTACTCTACCTTTGATACCCACTCAAGTCATCATCAAGTACCCTTCCAGATCAACTTCACCATGTCAAACCCACCTCCTGGCACCACAGTTCGTCGGCAGTCTATCGCCTTGAAAGACAAATACCCCTCCTCACCACCATCAACCGATCTCAATACCGGCGACAACTCCGACAAAGACCCCAACCCCATTGCCACCGAGTCCGACCCAGAAGTTCTTCACCCCGAAGATACCGCCACCATCTCTCCCGCCCCTGACGGTGGTCCCCGCGCCTGGCTCGTCGCCGCCGCCGCCGCCTTCACCTTCTTCTGCACCCTGGGCTACACCAACGCCTTTGGCGTTTTCGAGCAATACTACCTCACCTCCCCCTTCTCCCCCCTCCACTCGTCTTCCTCCCACTCCGCCTTGTCCTCCTCCAAGATAGCCTGGATTGGCTCCCTGCAAACCTTCCTCACCTTCTTCACCGGCTTCTTCGCCGGTCCCCTCTTCGACCGGTATGGCGCCGTCGCCACCGTCCGCCCCGGCGCCCTGCTCTTTGTGTTTGCCATCATGATGACTAGCTTGTGCAAGCAGTACTGGCAGCTGATGCTCGCGCAGGGGGTTGTGGGCGGGGTTGCTATGGGGTTGTTGATGTTCCCTGCTATGGCGGCAGTGGCGCAGTGGTTTGATAAAAAGAGGGCGGCGGCGTTGGGTCTGGCGGTTAGTGGGAGTTCGGTGGGGGGCGTGGTGGTTCCGATTGCGTTGGGCAGGATGTTGAATGGTGGTTCTGCCGCTGGTGCTGGTTTACAAGAAAGGGAAGGGGGGCATCTGGGGTTCGGTTGGTCGGTCAGGATCATCGGGTTCATGATGTTGCCCCTTCTGGTGTTTGCGAGTTTGGCGATTAAGCCGCGACTGCCGCCACGGACGACGAATTTCTTTGTGGTGAAGGCGTTGAAGCAAAAAGACTTTGTCATGTTGGTGTTTGCCATTTTCTTTCTGTTTATGGGAATGATGACGCCGTTGTTTTTCATCCCGACGTATGCCGTCTCGAGAGGGATCGATGCTACGCTGGCTAGTTACATGCTGGCTATTGTCAACGCGGCGTCGACTTTTGGACGCATCATCCCCGGCGTTTTGGCTGATCGGGTAGGAAAGCTGAATATGCTGGCGGTGGGTGGAGTGGCGAGCGGGATCAGCATTCTCTGCTTCAACAAGGCGGTCTCGACGGCTGGGTTGATCGTGTACTCGATCTTTTATGGGTTTTCTTCTGGGATGATCATTTCGGGGGCATCTGCCGCCTTGACAGTCTGCCCGAAAGACCCGAGAGATCTTGGATCATATATCGGTATGGGAATGGCATTAGGAGCGATTGCTGTGCTGATAGGACCTCCGATCAACGGCAAGCTTATTGATGTGTATGGGGGATATCTCGAGCTGTCCATCTTCAGCGGCGTCATGTGTCTTTTCGGTGGGCTGGTTGTAATTGCAACCAAGATAATGACGCCGCAGGGGATTTTCGGAAGAGTGTAACACAGCGGGAGGCAGGCAGTTGCAAATCGGAAAGAAGGAAAGGCCAAACTGGCTGTCAAGAACACGTTCGAATCCTGTATAATAAACGCACCGCGGTCATGAGCTTCGTGGATGTTAGGTAGAGTTGCCGCAAAGGCAAAAACCAAATAGACAGAAAAAGAAAATCACCTGCATCAGCAACGCCAACCAACTTTTTCCTTACCAAGCGAAGTTCCCACGCAACCAAGCTCGATCAACTGTTCTAGCATGGCACATCCATATCCAACACCAAGACAACTCCCTAGATTTGAAAAGCTCTGAACTCCCTCACTCCCTCAATCCTCCTGTCTCGTGAGCGTCAAATGCAGCTTATGCTGCCTCATCAACGAAACAGCTACCAACCCTACTGCCGCCATCCCCAGCGCCGTGAACCACACGCCCCTAAACGCCGTCATGAACGACTCCATCACGCCCTCTCTCCACGCCAGAGGCAATCTGTTCAGCTCGCCCAAATCGTCTCTTATCCTGCCAATCTCCTCGGCCGCGCCCTGCCAATCACCGAACCGAGCCCACAGCTCCGTCTTCAGGATATTCTGGTACACCGCCGACCCAACCGTAATACCTACCGTCGCACCGACAGACCGGAAAGCGTACGTAGCACTGGTGATCACGGCCTGTTGCGAGTGATCCACGGCCGCAATGCAGGCGACCATGGTGACGGTCAACATGCCGCCGTAGCCGCCTCCAATCATAAACAGGGCAACAAAGACGATCCAGCCGGGAGAGTTCTGGCCCAGAGTGGTGAGGGCGGCAACCCCCAGAACAAGAGTTGAGACGAGGGCGATGCCCAGCATCTTGTACTTGCCCGTGTACTTCATGACCAGGCCCGAACCGAAGCTGGTGAAGCAGATGGCCAACGGGGAAGCGAGCAAACGGAGCCCGGCTTGGGTGGGGGTGTGGCCCAGGACGATCAGGTACATGGGAACGTAAAAGGTGAGCATGAGGGTGACCATGGTGCACATGAAATTGGTGAGGCAGGCGGTCAAGACGGTGCGGTGGGTGAGCAGCCGGACGGGGATGACAGGTTGGGTGTTGCGCGGGCGGGACTCCCAGTAGATGAAGCCGGCAAGCATGTTGAGGGATAGAGGGATGCTGATCAGGACAAGCGGGTGCGTCCAGGGGACGACGTTGCCGCCGGCGTTGAGACCCAGAAGGAGGAGGATGAGGAAGGCGATGATATAAAAGGAGCCCAGAAAGTCGATGCGCGAGACGAGCGACTTGTTGGAGATTTTTGGAGGAACCTTGACGAGGAAGTAGACGAGCACAGCCGAGACGAGACTGACGGGGACTTGGACGAGGAAGGCAAGGCGCCAGCCCCAAGATGAGGTGTCGTTAAGGAAGCCGCCAAAAACACCGCCTAGCATGGCACCGGCTCTGCAGAACTGTGTCAGTAAGCAGCATCTTTGGGGAACCAGCATGAAATGACAACCTACCCATAGAAAATATTACCCAACCCCTGGACCACACCTCTCTTCCTCAAAGGAACCAAATCCGATCCCATAAAGGTGCTGATGCTCATCAGTCCTCCGCCACCAATACCCGCAACGACGCGGCCGAGAATCATCGTCTGCTCATCCTTAGCCACACCGCAAATCAGGTTGCCCAACGAGAACAAAACATTGCTAAAAACCAAACCAGGACCCCGTCCAAAGATGTCAGTCATACGACCGGACAAGGGCTGGCAGGCTGCATTGGCAATGAGATAGGCAGTAGCTATCCAGGACAACAAGCTAAGGGACTGGAACTCGCTCGCGATGGGGGCCGACAGCGTGGCGATGATGCTGGCGTCAATGGCACCGAGGAAGACGCCCACCCAGGTTGTGCCGAAGATTACGACCAGACGAGTGGTAGAGAGTTTATCGGCCACGACGGTAATTTCGCCATCACCGGTGCTGTCGTCATCGGCCACAACAGAGATTTCGCCATCACCGGTGCTGTAGTCATTGGCCACGACAGAGATTTCGCCATCACCGGTGCTGTACAAGTAGTCATCGGCCACGACGGTAGTTTCGCCATCATCGAAAATGTCGGCATCGTCGCCGTGTCTGACGGCCTCGTTGGTGGGTTTGTTGGCTTCGAGGGTGGATTCGCTCAGTAGTGGTGTTGTCTCGTCGTGGACGTGACGACTGCTTCCGAGAGCGGCAAGAACCCGATTTCCACTGCCGGGGCCAGTTATTTTGCCCGTCATGCTCGGGA